CAGTCGAGATCGGCAAGGAGCGTCAGTTCATCAAGGCCGGCGATCCCGTCGTGGTCGTCACCGGATGGAAGAAGGGCGCGGGCTCTACCAATACCATGAGGGTTATCTTTGTCGAGTAAAATGCCTACGAGGCGCATATTTGTGGCCAATAAGCGTGACTGATTAGATCTTTTCTCTGTAGTATATCATTTCTGTTGGTTGATGTCGTTAAAGAGGAGAATTTGGTTTAAGCGCATTCGAAAGTTATTGGATTCACTGACGATGTGTAGGAGATAGACGGAATGAGTCTATAAACATGTATTCTCTGTTATAGTACTTTTTGTTGAGTTAAAGGTTCGATAATCGTCTTGAAGGAAGCAAAATTTCTTTAGTCCGTGCCGTGATCATTGAAGATAGTTGGTAGAAAAGCAGAACATCCTATCAGTGATGTTTTTGAGTTGGCCAAAATTCTCATCTCGGAGTACGTGCATAGTACCATAGTAGATACAGAATCCTTGAAATAATTCTAATGCACTTTCATTTTGGTTCCATTTATTTATTGACTTGCGTAGAACCTTAGATAGTCGTGCGTGATATAAACTGAAAGTTGTTAGCCCACATTAAGACCTCCATTGCTTAAGTGTTGATCATAATTGATGTTGTGTTATGGTCAAGTGATTGCAATTAATGAATACTTACATCTAGTCTATCTTCAAATAATAGCAGTATTTATTCTATAAATTATTGTGTAGTTAGGAATGAAATCGTTAAATGTGTTCGTTCAATATTACTCACAGAACCAAAATTTTAAGCTAGTGCAACCATGTTGAGATCAAAATGAATAAAAGCGAATAATATTGTAAAAGTTAACTTGAGCAGGGAAGAGAGAATTCTAATTCTGGAGCTCAGTGAAATTGCATGTAACAAATGAAGTTGATGATTTTCTTGCGTTCTTAGTGGTCTTGGCTTTGTCTCATAAAACTTATGTAATCATACCTTGTTTTTGTCCCCGATAATTGAATAGCCAATTCGTTACATACATTCATGAGCGACATCTTGGGTACGACGTGGAAACTCCAATTGCTTCCCTTAAAATTGTTTGCATTCACTTTGTCTCGAACTCTCGATCTCCTACAAATGCTCTTTTAAACGGGATGATTGAAGAAGTGAACGAAATCTTAACTTGTGGGCTCGAATGAATTTGAATTTTCTTTCAATTTGAGGATGCAATGAAGTGTGACACTTGAGCACAGTTTAATATTGAAAAACCTCTAAACGGCCACTACACCAAAATTTTCGAACCCGTGTTGGAAAGGTACCACTGAAATTATGTTAACGCCTTTAAAATCCGGCCATGCATTTCGAAAATAGCAGGTGCTCCTAACTTAAAACCTTGCTATTCTACGATCGTGCGTTACATAAGCTCGATACACTAGTCAGGAATATCAAGCGTGGACGTTTGATCAGGTTCAATTTATACAGATCTAAAAACACATCTTTACGCTGTAAAAAAAAATAGTGATGAAAAAAATTTAAGCAGGGCAGGCTACAATCTTGCCGTCATGCGGATGCTTATGAAATTGGACAATTCTGAATCATGTTTTATTCTATTCCATTTCATTGTAGTTAAATAAACATGATCAAACCCTAAACCTAATTTTATTATTGGTTTATGCCGCGCGAACGTATTCCGAAGTTGATAAAGAATATTAAGAAACACCAAATTCATAGAGTTTTAGCAGACGTCACTAAGTTGATGCTTTGACTATCCTAACAGGTTACCAAGTTAGTTGGAATTTATTCACATGCACAGATTGGTAGGGTAACAATTTCAAATGTATAATATTGCATACGTATACCCGGGGAACTATAACTCACAAAAAATTACAATTGCATAAGCTTGTTAAAGTCGCAAGTCGTTCTGACCTCCAGGAAGCACAGAGCTGTCCCAGTGGCCAAGTTAATAAGAGATGTTCACACTCTAATCAAGTACGTGACTTTACTGCAAATGTTGGTAAAATTTTGCTTTAATTGAGATCGATAAATACACTCCATAAATTATATTGACAAAAAATTAATAAAAACGCCAAAAGCAGCGATATCATCACACATGAAGCACGCTAAAGAACAATAAAAATCGTGAACATCACGCACCGAATTGCTGCCTTGAAGTTCACGAAAAAATTTTGCTAATATGGTTCAACACCATTTACAGCTTGAAAATTATCAAAATATAGCAAATGAAAATCACACTAAATCGTCTTATTGTCTACAATACTAAAGATGGAAGAGAAAAAGTGGTTGTCTACATAGGTTGCAAAAAATGCGGTGATAAGTTGTGTTGTCAACAAGACATCACCGCATGTTATGTTGACTGACTATCAACATATACTTCAGCGATGCAGTTTGTCAAACCGGCTCTAAAAAGACCTGTTAGACTGCTGATTAGCCATATCCGGCATTTTTAACTTGAAATTAATCGAGTGAGGTCATTTAGACAAGTTTTTTGGCTTCAAAGAAGCTCTTGAGATGCCTCATCTGCCAGAAGCCCATGATGACCAAGATGGCGACCTGACCAATACTCCACCACAGCACGCGCTGGTTGGTGCTCTCAGACGTCATGCGGAAGCGTTCCTCACGGTACTGCAGAAAGTAGGGGAAAAATCATGTAAAATTTGTCAGCTACCCAACGCTTCTTTACGATACAAAAAAAAAACTAAAATAGTTCAAAAGTGTAACAAGTGATCCTTCAAGATAAACTTATTCCATGTTCAGAAATCATCCCAAGGAAGGAAGAAGGAAAATATTGTCATTATAAATTAATAAAAACTGCAACCAATTCCACAGAGCTCATTTTTCCTAAACAATTGAATCCACCAAACTCACCCTCTGATAATTTTGTTCTTTGGTGATCTGTTCTACTTGATCGAGCAACTGCCTGACACGCAACTGAAGCTCTGTGAGCTTCTCTTTTTGAGCAACATTGGCGTAATCAATGGCATGCTCTCCCACCTGGATGTCGAAATGCACGCGCTGCACACAGCAAAGAGGTTACAAACATTTTATGTCAAATAAGAGTAAATTTGTATGAAATTAACACACAAATTAATTGTAGTAAAATGCACCAATTAAATTTCCATAACAGATCATGCATATATCAATCAATCACAAATTAAAGACTTTATCAACTGACTTCTGAGAATATCAGAGGCACATAAGAGAAGATTAAAAATAGGTGCAATAAATAAATAAAAATATCTCAAATTCAAATAATTGAAAACATCTGACACATGACAGCATTAACTTACCAGCTGTGATCTAGAAAACCACTTGGTTGAGTTAGAGTAGAGACAAATGACATGTTCACCTGGAGAGTGTGATGTGAATGTGAACCTGCCTTCACTGCTGTACATCTGCCATCAAAACATTATAGTATTATCAATGCACTGAAGAACAACTCAACAGGATAACAACAAAAATACTTTTTTATTTATGAAAATGAGATCATTTTTAACTATACTAGGCAGAAAGGTATCACAGATTACATCATGTAAGGTATGAGATGTATTTAACCTCTGTTTTTTTAGCCTGTACAATTAATTTACAGAAAGAAAAGTATCACTGACAGACTTTTAATTCAAGGTGAGAGTAAATAAAAAAGATACTTCAATGACAATTTTTTTTAATAATTAACAATAATTGAAATCAAGATCAAATTAATGTAGAAGTACTCACTCTAGACAAAACCATCTTGTCATCTGGATCATGTACTTCAACGTGCATTCCTAAACCAGCTGAGGAGGCCATTGTTCCACCAGTGCTGGGGTCATACAACTGCAGTTTGTAGTTGCCTGGAAGTATTTCATGAGTGACAACAACAAATACAAATATTTTCATCACATGGACAGTAAAAGTTTTTACATTAATAGGTGTCATTTCTAGCTTATAAATAAATATTGTTAGTACCAATTACTATAGTTATTTTTCTTTTCATAATGTTTCCACTTTAGTGGAATTTAAGACAATTATATTTGTACATAGTATAAGTACAAGTAAGTATAGTAGTACAAGTATAAGTACATGCCTAGTATAAGTAAGTAAGTTATAGTAAATATTACCTAAGCTAGGTCACTGCCATAATATAAACCATAATTTTAGGTAAATGGAATGATAAATTGTTCAGGTCTTCAAATTTAATATATGCATGAGTGCAAGACATCTTTTTGATGAACTGTAACTCAAACTTTCCCCAACATTCATAAAGACAGAGCCAAAAAATAATCACTACATGAATTATCTTAAAAATTTTTTGAAAACCAAACAATCAAGACAGCATCAATACTTTTGAGACAAATTTCAGAGCAGGTTTTCCATGCACAAGTTTGTCAAATTAAAACTGATTTTGAGCTAACTGACAGAGAAGCAACTTATTTATGATACACTCCTGACCCCAAGTCCTGCTGTTCTGCATTTGTTGTTAGAATTCTTCAGGTCTGATTTGTTTTCATATGTATGTATAATGTATAGTACCCCAAAACACCAAGTTAATTAGGACTGAAAAGGGGCCAAACTCAGCAAATAGGCCATTATGTGAAAGCATTTCACAAATTCAAGTAGTGCCCTAAAGCCCCTAATTGAGCTGGTAAAGCTAACAGTAATAGCAATGGCCATTGAATGGGATCCTATAAATCAACAGCCATTTGCAGTGCAGGCGCAATCTTTGTTTAATGATCATAGACTCTCACTTCCACAAAGAGTGGTCACCCCTGCCTTCTCTCCTATCCCACCAAACATCTCTCTGTGTGGGAACATTTGTCTGGACCCAGGAGCAGGGCTCTCTGTGTCTCTTCATCCTGGCTCTTCCTCTGCTCTACTAGCGCATAGGCTAGAATTTACTTACCCTGACCATGTTCAGATCTACACAGATGGTTCACACTCAGCAGGGAGCTCTGTTTCAGCTGGTGTATATGTTCCCTCACTGTCACTGGCAACAGGGTGGCTACTCTCACTAACCCATACAATAATGGGAGCAGAGTTGTTTGCCATCTACAAGGAACTGGAATTAGTCCCAAGTCGTGAGATCTGCAAAGCCACCCAGTGGTTATATTTACAGACTCAAAATCCTCCTTGTATCTCATCAGGAGCACTCGGCGCCCCACTTATGCTTCAATAGTCTTTAGAATTCACATGCTGCTTATACAGAAAGGTCTAACTTCAGTCTCCCTCTGCTGGGTGAAGAGCCACAGTGGAGTGAGAGGCAATGAGATTGCTGACCGAGTTGCTAACCTTTCTCACGGCGCTGACAGATCTTTTTGTTCTGTTTTGTGCTTTGAGGAGTTAATGTGCCGGTTGAAACAGTCATTCCTCACCCAATGGAAGGAACACTGGAGCAGCCAGGTTGCGGAGACTAACAGTGGCCATTTTCGACAGATTCTTGAAAACTCTATTGATCACATTGAATACAGCTGCCTCAGTCGGAGAATGCAGTGTGCAGTGGCCGGTTTGCGCCTTGGCCACGCAGGCCTTGGTGCACACCTTTGGGGGTGCTTCCTGTGCTTTGGGATGGCACAGGACTCAACCTGCTCTATTTGTCACCAGGATGACACCATCTTGCATTTCATGCTTGCCTGTGTTAGATTTGCAGGTCCTAGAGCAGCCTTTACCACTGCATTGGCTAGCATTGGAGTCCCTTGGAACCTGAACACAGTCTTAAGAGCCAAGATCTCTGCAGCTCAATGCCCTTTAGTATTCTTTTATCTATCACAATTTTTGTTGCAGACTGGCATGGTGAATCTACTATGATGGGGAGCAATTTAAGCATGTAAATATATAGGAAACTTGTACCTTTCCAGAATATCTACCTTGCAACAGGATCATCTCCAGATACAAGCAGCTTTTGGCTGTGAGACCGACAGCAAGTGTGTGCTCACACAGACAGACTGCATTGATCCATAGTGTGCAGGGGCAGCAACCTAGTCTAGCAGAGCTCTGAGTCTGCTGCTTTGCTTTCTTTTTCAGACAGAGATCAGGCTGGTAGGCGCCTATGTCGCCACAAGTCTTAACCCCAATTAAAAAATTTAATGGGATTCTTGAACTTATTACTGAAATTTAGGAGCTTTGAAGTGACAAATTTTAGCTACATTAGGAATCTTGCAGCTCAATTGTGTACTGTTATTAATAGTTAGATCTTGAATTAATCTAGCAAGAATCTTGCAGTTCCAAAAGTTGTAGGAAACTTCTAGTTAAAGCTTGAAATGAAAGGTAGCTGAATTCTATACCAAAAATATAGAGGACAATAAAAATTCAGACGATTGCAGGGCAGCAGCCAGCAGGAGTGTATTGCAAATTATTTATTAGATTCATTGCTAATTAGGTCAATTGGTGCAAGGCTTCATGTTATCCAGGGCGCAGACGGCAGAAGGGGCAAGCAGCGTCACCAATATATATGGATTTATAGCCCAAAGCATCGCCAGCCATTTTCAAGATGGGTAATTTTAATAAGAAAATGCTGCTAACAACTTTGATAGTATATGATTATATCCCTTACTCTCCAGTCTCCAAGCACTGCAACACTTATAAATCAACACATATAATGCATCAGATATCTGACAGCCAGACATGTGGTGCCATCTATTGAGAGAGCAGCAAAGCAGAGTTAGGCTCGTCTTGCTCAGAATTGTGTCTGGGCAGCATACACAAAAACACACAATTCTGTTGCCCAGAGCACCAAAAGATGGTGCTGTGCTTGTATCATTATCAACAATTTAACAAAGCTATAATAAACCCTACATCCTAGAGCAACCATTGCTTAGTTCTAGAATTATTATTGTTCTCATTATTCACTCATTTTCATTGCATCTGCCACTTGCAATCTTTCAAATTTTCAACTAGTATTTAACAAATAGTTGGCCAAAGACTGTCAAATATCTAGATTCTAGAATGCAATAATTTCAATCCAAATAAGTTGGCAAATGGCAAGAACTTCTCAAGATGTGAATTTTGCAGCTGGTGCGTCACTAAAGAAGCAAAGATCCTGCAATATTCACCCACTTTTTGCACAGTGGCATGTTACAGCAAAATATGCAAGATTTCATTATTAGTTCATAGCCTATTAACAAAAAATATGACTGATATGAGTAGGGTAAATGGTATATTCCGTCACATTAAGGACGCATCGAGAAATGAAAAATTATAAAAAATAACCGTATGCATTACTCGAGTTCTGTTTGCTTTATTTGACTCGCAAAACACCGTACTACGCGCCAGCAACAACGAAACGTCACCATATNTTAAACCAATTTCCTAAGCATGATAATACTAGTATCCAGGATACTTTACTGGTCTACCTATAGGACTCAAAAATGAACTTGAGGGAGAGTCTAAAAAACTCTCTGCTTTGCCACTATGGTTCAACGCGCAAATGTATGATGTCACCATTTCAACCATCAATGAACACATGGAACTAAAACAAAGCTTAATATAAAGGAAAAACTAGAGAGGTGACGGAATTACCCACAATGACGGAATATACCGCGTTTACCCTATGCAAGATTTCATTATTAGTTCATAGCCTATTAACAAAAAATATGACTGATATGAGTAGGTATGACAAAGCACCAAGGAAACCAAAAACTTAAGGAGAAAAAACATGAATTTTCAATATTGAAGGAAAAAGCAACAGGGTTGTATGTACGAAATTCACATCCTTAGGCATTAATTCCAAAATAAACTGTCATGAGTGTCATCACTCACACTCACTCAGTCACTCACCTGTAACCATAGTTTCATCGGGTATCTCTTCTATGAAACATTTCCTTTCAGTTTCTCCGATGTGGAAATATAGACCATGAACAGTGATTCCCCATAGAACAAATAAACTATACGTGAATAAATAACGCATTTTTAATGGTACCAAAATTGTTTGCTCCGAAATATACAAATTTAAAGGAATTACTAGTTTTCCTTCTCAAGATATACAAATATTTAGACTAGCCACCTCAGGAGCTCCCTGTCAACCGACGTGGAATGTCTTGAAGACTTCACCACAAATTCCATGTCAACATGAAACTGAAAATAGTAATAATCATGTATACCTAAATATCGAATAGTAAAATATCTAGGTCCTCGCATTACAAATTGAGATTTGGGAACAAAAATATTTCTTTACATTTTTTTGCAGGATTTACATCAAAATTCATTCTAAGTTCAAATTTTTCCGCATTGCACTCAATTGGAGCATTTTAAAATGCTTTGGTTGCGCTGCTGCAGTCTGGGCGACTTGGACGATGTTGTGATTTACAAATTTTACATACTCTTCATTCTCACTCGTTGAGGAACTGAGGGTAGATATAGCCTATAGGAAGATTAGGCATGAACAAGTTCAGGGAGGCAAGGATGAAAGCAGAATTTAGATAAAATGTGTATTCGTTTAGAATGAATGTTTGGCAAATGATTTTTAAACATAAGGTTTAGTTAAGAGAAGTGTCGGCCCGACATTGAAGAAATAGGCCCATCGCCTGTTGCCGTTGGAGTGTTGCTGATTCTTGAACTTTTCGTGACTTTATTCACGAGCGATCCGGCCTTAGGAACCCGATCTTTCCATGGCAACTTTATGGTTAACTTGATAATACGCAAGGAGGCAAGTGTGACATGACCATGTCAACGAAATGAGGGAATACCATTATTGTTATACCACAGGCAGCCACTCAATTGTCATTGACGATGACAGACGAAGTGATAAATGGCTAAAGACGGGTAAACAGTGTGCAATTGCACAGGCAGCACAGCATTGGGTCAATAGGCTAGGTGATGGGATTAGGACCTATCATGATAGGATTTGAAAAGAGAATTCGTGTGTTCATGTTAGTTGAAGGAAATGGAACTAGGAGGATAGGGTATTAGAGATCATCGATCATGGACTATTTCATGAATGACATTGAGAAGAGCCTGGACTGGAGCAAGGGTGATCAATAATTTAATGGGCTGATCGGATGGATATTAGAATATGATATGGATATTTCAAAGATGAAAGAATTATAATGGCTTTGACAGCAGTAGTGCAGAGTGGTGACTGGTGAGACTGTTGACTGACAGGCAGTGACAGCTGCCATCATTATGGACAGCCATGACTGACTGACTGTGACTGACTCTGTGAGTGGACAGTATAGTAAATAGTAATAGTGAAGTTACTGGAGTATATTGTAATAGGAATAGTATACTGTGTCACAGTGTCTGTATAGTCCTTGTTAGTTGTTAGTTGTCTTGAAGAAAATCTAGGTTGCAGTTGCAACTGGTCAGGCTGGCATGGAACTGAAGGCTGCAAGTCTAAGATATGAATTTGATTGAATGTTAACCTTCAATTTAACTCAGTTTGAAACTTTTTTCTCAGTGAATATGTATTGCAATTATTTTGTTACCTTTTTTAAACTAATTTCATGACATTAATTTCAGGTTTTCAGCATGAATTGGTCACCTTGAGGCTTGAGGCTTTGAGCTCAGTGTTCTTTCTCAAAAGTTCATATTAGCCATTCAAATAGTTATTTAACTTTGTACAAAATGAGTGATCCAGTTGTTGCATATGCTATTATTGCTACTATTATTAGTATTATTTTAGGAGTAATTTTTTACCTAAAAACAAAATTGAAAGAAGGTATGTATTGGAATTTTGGAAATCATTCTTAATCTAGAATATAATTTATTCAGTTGCTGAGTTGAATGATCATATTAGAAACTGATGAAATGGTTATAGTTTTGAAATTATATTTGTCATAAAAATTCAAAATGCATTTTTACATCATAAATTTATCTATGTTTATAGTTTGAAAAAAACAAAAAAGTATGAAAATTACTACTGTAACCCTGGGCCCTTTTAATCATATTGTTTGTAATTGTTACACAATCGTAATATTAGTAAAGCAGAGTAATTTATTTTAAAAAAGGTCCTGTAGAGCCTGCAGAAACACAGCTGCATGCAGAGACAACTGTAAGAAGAGCTGCTGGGAACAACAGAGGGGCACAGCAGCGCAATACAAGAGCCAGGCTGCAAGCTGTCTGTAAGTCAAGTTTAGTGAAATGTGAAATTTTTATGTTGGTTAAATGAGTACCTAGTGTTTAGTTTACAATGTTTATCTTAAAAATAGAAAAGCTAGGTTGGCTGAGATTCATCATAGCTGATTATATTCAACTGCACTCATTCTGCATTCATATTAACTTTTTTTGGAGGGGGGGGCACAATTGAATATCAACAAATTTTTTATTTTTGCCTATTCTCTCCTCATGATGGATCCCCATCAAATTTATTTTAATTGCTTTACTTTTTATTTACTATCAAAGTGTTGCTCCTCATATTAAAACAATAAAAAAAAATTATATGCTAAAATTTCATGTACTTCCTTCAGTGTCTCTCCTCATGTTAGCTCCATCAAATATTTTAATCACACTAATTCTTGTTTTCCATCTCAGTGGCAGAGCGCAGGGGAGAAGTAGAGGTTGAGGAGCCACCAACCCCCCCACCTCACATGGCCGCGGCTGCAGCGGCAATGCCAGTGCAGCACCACAGCAGCGATGAGGAGGAGGGTGATGACGACGAGGCCGGCACAGTAATGGCCCACAAAGGTGGCAAGATTGGCAAGAAAAAGGCTGCAAAACTTCAGCTAAAAGCTGAGAAAAAGGCCCAGCGTGAAGCTGAAGAAAGGGAAAGAGAGGAACAAAGAATCAAAGATGCACAACGAGAAGAAGAAGAGAAGCTGAAGAAAGAGGAAGAAGTACATTGATGATTTACTTCTAACTTTAGTTCATGTTTTCCATAGTAATTGTCTTCAACATTTTGAAGTTGTAATTTTTATTTTTACAATGATTTTAGAATTGGTAACTTTTGGTACTGCATGATATTTTATAGCTTATTCCTATCCTTGCAATGAATATTAAAATGATTGCTGTAACTGGAAATTTATTGATTTTGGATGTATATAAACATGCACTCATGTGAAATTTTTATTTTCTAGGCAGCTGAAGAGGCCAAAAGACTTGAAGAAGAGAAGAGAAGGCAAGAAGAGCGAGAACGCAAAGAACAAGAAGAATATGAGAAAATGAAGGCTGCTTTCACCATTGAAGAGTCTGGTTTTGATCAGAATGTTGATGACAAAAACGAGGAAGACTTGTTGCATGAATTCGTGACATTCATAAAGGCAAGTTTTCTCTAGGTTGTATAAAAAATTTCATTCTAATGTTATTTATCTTCAGTGATAAACAATTGGATATTCGCGTTGGAATGGTTCAAATGAGAAATTGAAGAGAAATCAATGCTCTTTCCAACTAAGTTCAAAATCTGTTCACATGATTCTAATGTATTATTGCTCTTTGGAGCCATGTCATCATAATCTGATATTGTTAAGACTAAATATAGTGAAAGTCAATATCTGACTAATCCATTTGTTACCTCAAATAATTGGAGCTGTTTCGCAGCAAGAAAAAGTTGTGGTGCTGGAGGAATTGGCGGCCAGATTTCGTCTCAAGACTCAGGCTGTCATCAACCGCGTTCAAGATTTACAGTCTCAAGGCACTTTAACAGGTCAGTATTTTATGGTAAAATAGAATCCCGTTATCTATGTTTGGATAAGTAAGATTTAAATATTAACATCTTGAGTCAAAAAGATTGGTTCACTGGATACAAGAAGATAATGTCTTAGGTATGAAAGTTTACAGGAGCTCAACCTAGGTAAAAATATCTGTTCCTTCAGTAACAGTGCAATTGAGAACAGCCTACTTCCTGGAACCTTCTACACAAAAAAAATCTTTTCATATTCTTTTCTTACATGGAAATACTCGATGTTCCTCTACTGCTGACCAGGCGTCCTAGACGAGCGAGGAAAATTCATCTACATCAGCATGGATGAACTGGAGGGCATCGCTAAGTTCATCAGGCAGCGCGGGCGCGTCACCCTAAGCGAGTTGGCAGAGGCTTCAGGAACCCTCATCAGCTTGTCACCTGACCAACCTGTCGTCGCTGCTAGTTAAAATTTTGAAGGCTTGTCTTTAGAAAAAATATCGGAATTGGAAGTAAGATCGTGGGTGCAGAGAGTACATACAACGTGCTTACTAAAGGTGCTGGAGAGGTAAAGATAGTGGGCGAAACGTGTCCTTTGAAATATTGAAGTATTTTCTCGATTAAACGTATCTAAATGAGCAAAAAGATCGTGGATGAAAAGACTAAAGATTCTGGATGCAACATAATATAAAATACTGTATTCCGTGACAATAATGTCGAGAACGTTGCCAAGATTTTTTTCGGAGTTCAAGTTGTAATGTACCATTTTTTGAAAAATGATGACAACTGGCAACTGCCCCTTTAGGCGTTCTTTTAAGTTTGCAATTTATAGTTTTTTTTTTGCAATTGTTGGCACTCGTTGATGGCATATTTTGGATCTCATGTTCTCGATTCAACTTGAAATACCATCTAATGCACTCACCAACCATGCCAGGAGATGATACTATTTCATCAGAAAATTACTTTAATTAAAGTCTCAGATTAACGCATCGGCTGGCCTTCTCTGCTTATTTAAACGTATGAATAACAGTTGTTTTGTGGCCAAACTCTCATGTAATAACCAAGTCATTAATGCTGTTTATTTTTTCTGTAGTAGGACGCCAAATGGTTTATTTTGTATAAAATACTTGAGATGTTTATTTCAAATTACTTATTGCGTTATTAGATGCACCAACAAAGCACGGCGCGAAGAGAAGGAAACATTCAACCGTTGCAAATCGTTTGTTATTTATATGGGGTAGATAACTGTTAACCAGAATATAAACGGAAATAATGTTAAATTTTATTGTCCTTCAACTGCATATCATAACTCATCATTTTGACATGTAGGGTTTGAAATGGTAGTTCGACATAAGTACATTGTTTGAATACTTATCTGTAATTTTAAAACTAGACATTATTTTGAATTAGACGTATTGGCTTGACTCCATATAGATCATACACAAGGCAATAGCAGTTGCCAGAAAGTGAGAGTAACGAGTAGGTAAGCGAGTGTCGGTAATGACCGTTAACGATGGGCAGCTGTTGTACGTGTGTTCCCTCAGTGTGGTGGTGACGGGCTTACCGGTATGAGGGTGACAACCCTACTGCTGCTCTGCTGTCTCGTGGTAGGTGTGATAATAAAGTATTATCGGCAATGAAGAAAAGATCATGTTTGGTCTGATCCCTCAATAAGATTATGCTTTGACCATCCAAACGCAATTAAAAAAAATTTTCGTGAATTTCTTTACGTGCGCAGAGCGACAAGATAACGATAAAAAATTTATATAGTTCAACCATGGTTCTCTGCAGTCTCACGGTCAGTTTACCCAGTCAAATTTGCTACAACTTTTTTAGCAAATTCGAGTAGGCGACTTGAAGCGAGAAAATGTGCTGGCGCGACGATGAGTTGCAACGTAATTTTTCTAGTGTATAGCCATAATACTGCAGGAAAAAAATAAAAATTAAATAGAATTGCAATAGACAAACATGAACTCATTCACCTATTGAAATTCGATCGTATTGTTGATTTGTATCATCCAAATTCACAATGATGGTCAATATAATTTAAATTGGAAAATTAAATAAATTTAAAGTTGAACCGAGCATTGTTTTAGGAATGGGGAAATGACTGAGAAGGTCGAAAGTTATACGATGTATATTCCACATACGTCGTCCAGTGTCCACAAACTAGCCATAATTATTTGAAACCTTCGCTCGTTTCCTCGTGAATCCTGTGAGTTCTTTCACATCTACGGTAAACTTTACGTACGTGTACCATGTAACAGTTACATGGTGCTCAGATAGCTAAATAAGTCACCGCGTAAAGAAAAACATAGAAGGTAGAATCGATATAAAAATTTCATACCTCAGTAAACAATAGACACTTAAAAGAGACCAAGCTGAAACCGAGGAATCATTGACCCGGGTTTCGGTACTCGTCAAGACGCCTAAGTTTTACAAAATCTTTATACTGAATCGTATTCAAATACGACCAAACTTATAAAAGTGCTTCTTGATTCCCCAGAAAGCCCAATTACTAGATCCGTTATAAAAAATCTCTCCATTACCCTAGTACTGTGATTTTTCGTCTTCTTTTTCGAAATTATTATCACGTTCCTGTCAAAATTCGTATATTTTGCAGGCAGTGGCGCTGGCCTATAACTCCAGCATCAGGCGTCGCGTGGTCGTGCGTAAAAGAAGAATAGCGAGACATTCTCTGCCAACAGCCGTGGCCGCTCATGTCAGTTCATCGTCACCCATGGATTTGATAAAGTTACCGAATCTAAATAACAAGGGTCTATCAAACCCCGGAAGTCATAGGCTATGGCCTGATAGACGAAGAGCGAGTCCCCAAAGTCAGGTTTTGATTCCTGAAAGTCTGATGTCAACATCTAAGAGTCGAACTCTGATGCCAGCGAATCGAACAGTGATGCCCAAAAGTCGAATGGTGATACCTGAGAGTCGAACAGTGATGCCCAGTAGTCGAATGGTAATACCCGAGAGTCGAACAGTGATGCCCAAAAATCTAATGGTGATATCCGAAAGAAATCGAATGTTGATACCCGAGAGTCGATTGTTGATGCCCGAAAACGTGACGATTGGAATTCCGCTCCCCCAAGACAATGGAAGGCGCGATGGCAGTGAAACAACAAATCCAGAAACGGTGAGCTTTGAATGGCTTCATTTATTCAGAATAATGTTCAACATACAAAAAATACCTTCTAGAGTAACAAGAGACGAAAATTAATTAATTAATACAAATTAATACTAAAAATGTAATACTTTTATTTCCATTTCAAGTCGAAACCATATGTTAAGCGTGAAAACTTTATAGTCATATAAGAACAACAAGCAAATTTGAGATTCAGTATGTTTTGGCATGTGAGAAATAAATTCCATACAGATGAAATGTTTTTTAAATTTTCCTGCCGGTAACACATATACGCACGATTTTTCATTCTTAATGATAAAAGACAGAAACTTACTCTCATTTCGCAGTCTCAAATTATCACAATTTCACATGTTTTAGATGTTTTAGATAAATCATTTCACGCTATTTAGCTACAAGATTGAGCTTTTCTCGACCGTAACCAATCACTACTCTCTATGCACCATAGCCATAGCTCAAATTTCTTTCTTCACAAGATTATTCCTAAATTGTTATTATTAAAGCTATTATTAAATTGTTAAAATATATTGTTATGGGACGTTAAATTGAATACGGATCGTTATAGAAAATATTGCTATGTCTTAACTTTGCCCTCATTTCGTCCTGGCAGGATTCCGAGGCGTACAACTTCGCGTTCGAGGTGGGCGAGGGAGCGCGCTACAGACAGGAGGAGCGACGCTCGGGGGAGACGGTAGACGGGCAATATAACGTACTGCTGCCCGACAACCGTATTATGACCGTCCTGTATTCCGTCAATAAGACCACGGGCTTCCGACCTAAAATAACTTTCCGGAATATCGACGGCGGAAACATCGTTATTGATGAAAAGAAACCCAAGGCTATGAGAAATATCAATGGTGTAACAGTGCTGGACGAAAATGTCCAAAAATCAAGAACGGCAACTACTAAGCTTCCGAAAACAAACGTTCGCAATTCAAAAGTTGAAGTACGCAGTCAAAAACAGCGACGTGCCAATAAAGTTGCATTGCCTTTTGATGAGGATAATCAAAAAAGTTTCGCAGAATTGGCACCCGAAATTAGTAAAAGGGATAAGTTAATGGTACCAAAAAGCACATCACTGTCAGACAACATCGTCGGAACAGTTGATATTCTTGCAAACGTAACTCCAGAGCCAGAAGCTTCAACTTTATCCCCGTCTGTATTGGCACGTGAATTACGAAGACATGCACAGCGAAAGAATCGTACTACGCAAAGTATTTCCGACAAAGACCCGAGAAATACAACTCCTTCAGAACTACAAGCAGATCGAAATTTGTTGGACAAAGTCATCAACTCTTGGCAAGTTATTAAGAACGAGGAAGTAGATGAAGAAATTTTCGCTTTCACTACGGACAAATTACCTCACACAAAAAGTGAAGTTTCACAGCAGGGATCTGAGAAAGAGGAGTCATCACTTAAAAGAAATCTAAACTCTCGACAGCCACAACCAGAATTACAGGGGCAGTTACAGCAAAGGAATCGTCTAACAATCAGACAATCTGTCGCAAGGGCGCGAGCTGAAAATCATGCAGGCACAGCGGTCTCTCTAACAACTTTCAAACATGATGGGTCACCTAATGATTCTCGCAAAGAAATCCAATTATCAGAACCTGTTACCATTGGCAAACTGTTCCGGGAACAATTTAAACGTTCATTAAATTTATCACGAAATGATTCCGAACTGGTTCCAGAGGATGTTGTGAACATCTCAAATCATGAGAGTGCAAATCATGAAGAAACTCAAAGCGAAATCCTCGAACTGAACACAAAGGACGAAAAATTTATAGAGAACCTAGCCGAAAATCCTATTCAGGGTTTTAAAAAGACAACACAGAGACCCGCCTCGTGGCCAGGTTTGGCTGGTTCTGTCATAGCTTACAAATTTGACGAAAATAGCCAACAGAAAAATGAGAGAGATCATGATCTTTTGACTGGCACTCCGTTCGAGAGGCTACAAGAATTGATAGCACCAAACGAAAAGGTTCAAATTAGTGAAGATGATGAGGCAGCAGCGGAAGCAACTAATGGATCTTCGATCGGTGGCAGCGCTTCATCTAATTCGGTTTCGATCGAATCAGAACAAGACACCAACATACAATTGGACACTGAAGCTCACTTTACTGGTAGCCGACAAACAGACATGGAACTTTTCACCACGGAAACTATTGAATTAGAGAAATTCAAAGATTTCCCTCATCCGGAAAGTTTGTCAGTAGCCCTGGTAGCGCCTCACTTTGAAACGGCAAAAGTCCAGAAAAACAATCCCGCGAACTCCCTTGGAATTATAGCCATTGGAAATATCAAAAGAGAGGGGAACTCGGAAACAAGGTTCAGCAACGATTGGTCACCGTTTTTCAGGGCGTTTTCTACACCTGCACCACAAGGGAAATTCCAATGAATTAAATATCCATAATTTAATATCCAATAACTATAACTAAGATGCATCACTTGTAGCAAAGATAATTAAATCACAGGAGAATTTCCAATGAATTTTGGTGTAAAGTCTCAATTTTCTTGCCAGCATATTAGCTTAATGTTTTAGATATACGGTAGCGAGCAGGCGCACCGCATATTTTTCTAATGAATTCCAGTAACGCGTCGATGACGATAACCGTCCTACCTGCCAATATGCAAACAACACATGCTTCTCTCATCGTTTGTGTTGTTCAAACCAATTGATGGTGTGGATCAGAGTGTCGACTTCAACATCCACTTTTCTCAGAGGATGGCAGTCAGGATACACGTGCACTCTGAGCAAAAAAAAAAAAAAACATTTTAAAATTTATTCTGTAATTTATCAGTAAAATTTACAAATAGAATTGTCACTAAAATTAATAACTTGCAACTGTCGCTCATGTTTATATTGATGCATTTGATTAAAAATTTTGAAGTAACTAGATAAACTGTCATACTATTTTATTTTGTAATTGATATTTGAATTGAATTTATTTTATCTATATATTTGGAAGCAAAAAAAATATCACAGCATTACGTGTGATAAATAAATTTATGCAGATTTATATACAACTAAATTACGTACCTTGTGAGAATAACATTATTATTATTATCAAATATCCAATGATTTAACATACAAGTTTACTGATAAAATGTATGCATTTAATGGCGATTAAAAAAATATTAATTCTAGTAGGGCACCACTTGAAAAATAGAATTAAAAATGCTGGTAAAGATGGGTATAGAAATAAAAAATAATCTTTCATTGCTACCACACGTACCTGGAAAAGCAATGTTAACCATAAAATATCAATATCTAATAATTATAAAAAAAATAAGAAATTATATCAAGGCACCAGAGTTAAAAATTCCATTAAATATTAGTACAGAATGTGAACAAAAATCTTTCATTGCTACAACAGCCACCTGTAGCAGCAATGCTAACAATAAAACATAACGTATAATAATTATCAAAAACATTTTATTAAGGCATCAGAGTTAAAAAAGTCCACTAATTAGTAAAGAATGTGAAATAGAATCTTTTATTTGTTACCCATAAAAATAAACATGTAATAATTAACAAAAAATAAGAAGTTCTATCAAGGCACCAGAGTTAAAAATTCCACGAAATATTAGTACATAATGTAAAAAATGTAACTCAGTACTCACTGCAGTGAGTGACAGAGAGCGCATTTTCTCGTCGACGAAAATTTGAGGTCACGGACGGACGGACAGACAGACAGGCGGACAGGGCGAGCACAATAGTGCATTTTTTCCATAAATGAGAAAATGCGCTAAAAATATAACTCAGTACTCTTACTCACCAGTCAGGGATATCCGACTCACCAGTCAGGGATATCCGACTCACCAGTCAGGGATATCCAACTCACCAGTCAGGGATATCCGACTCACCAGTCAGGGATATCCGACTCACCAGTCAGGGATATCCAACTCACCAGTCAGGGATATCCGATTCACCAGTCAGGGATATCCGACTTACCAGTCAGGGATATCCGACTCACCAGTCACGGATATCCGACTCACCAGTCACGGATATCCGACTCACCAGTCAGGGATATCCGTAATGCTGGCCATGGTTGCCACGTCCGTAACCGGATTTCGTGTGCTCACGGCGCAATAAAAATCCTGAAAAATTCACCATGGAGATCAAGTTTTAGTTACAAACTTCCAAATTTACATAAATTAAGTAAATTTGATTCATGTACGCGATAAGCAAATATAAACATTAAATTATTACATTATAGTTTAGAGAACACACTTATTGAGCAGAGTTGATGCACGAAATATAATTTTTGACCAAATTTGGAGAAAGTTAAAACTAAATTGCCCTTAGAATATAATTATTTCTATTCTACACAGATAAAGAAACAAAACAATTCAACACGAATAATTCACAAATACAATAAAATTGGCGCGAGTACATTTTTATAAAATAAAACATAAATGACATAAAATTCATGCAGATTTCTAGGTTATATTCTGTGTGTAAATGTAATCTATTAATTTTTCAATCAAATAATTTTCTAGTACTTTTTTATTATAATTAAAACAAGAGAGGACTCACGGGATACTGGCCAGCAAGAGACGTCACCAGGAAGCCGCCATGCGACCCGCCACAGAGAAACACGTTGCGCTCGTCCAGCACTGAGTTGTATCTACGCAAATACGGTTAGGAATTAAATACGGCCAATAGATAAAAACGGTCATGAAATAAATATGGCCAATAATTAAATATGGTCAATAATTAAATAGGTCAATAATTAAATAGGTCAATAATTAAATAGGTCAATAATTAAATAGGTCAATAATTAAATAGGTCAATAATTAAATATGTCAATAATAAAATACGGTCAATAATTAAATATGGTCAATAATTAAATAGGTCAATAACTAAATACGGTCAATAATTAAATACGGTCAATAATTAAATATGGTCAATAATTGAATAAGGTCAATAATTAAATACGGTCAATAACTAAATACGGTCAATAATTAAATATGGTCAATAATTGAATGAGGTCAATAATTAAATACGGTCAATAATTAAATATGGTCAATAATTGAATAAGGTCAATAATTAAATACGGTCAATAATACAATACGGTCAATAATTAAATATGGTCAATAATTGAATGAGGTTAATAATTTATTACGGTCAAAAATTAAATACTGTCAAGAATTAAATACTGGCAATAATTAAATATGGTCAATAATTAAATACGGTCAATAATTAAATACGGTCAATAATTAAATACGGTCAAGAATTGAATACTGTCAAGAATTAAATACGGTCAATAATTAAATAGGGTCAATGATTAAATATGGTCAATACTTAAATAAGGTCAATACTTATAATATGGTCAATACTTAAATAGGGTCAATAATTAAATATGGTCAATAATTAAATACGGTAAATAATTTATTACGGTCAATAATTAAATACAGTCAAGAATTAAATACGGTCAATACTTAAATAGGGTCAATAATTAAATATGGTCAATAATTAAATACGGTGCAGAATTAAATACGGTTAATAATTAAATACGGTCAAGAATTAAATACGGTCAAGAATTGAATACGGTCAAGAATTAAATATGGTCAATAATTAAATACAGTGAAATGCGGCGAAAATTAATTAAAAATCACATTAGTGAAAGCAAACGAGCTAAAGAGCACATCCTTAGTTGTATCTACGGAAATACGGTGAAGAAGTATGAACAATCCCAGTAGTGAAAGCGAACAAAGTAGAGAGTACCTTAGTTATATCTACAGAGATACGTGCTTATCACTTCGGTAAAAATACAAATAAAAATCTAATTGGTGAATACGAATAAGTGACAAGCAGAATAGTCTTAAAAGAGCGACATGTAGATAGAAATTTCGTCTTCGGGGAAAGGAGAAGTAAAACTGCAATAGCGTGTGTAATGAAGACAGATCAAGTCATAATGCTTCAAATCCAAACTAACAATCAAGCTATTTAGCTCACCGGCCAGACTAATTGTTCCCTGAACACCTAAAACGACATCTTTAAAGCCATGAATTAATCCGGACAGATTTTCGTCTGTACCATTAACATACGGTCATCTTAGATTATATTCCCATAATTTTTTTTATTCAAATAAAAAGAAATTTTATTTATGTTTTATTTTACAAATTCCATTTACGAACCTCTTAATTATACGAACCATTTACGAACCTCTTTAAAAATTATTTAAAAATTCCATTTACGAACCTCTTAAGACACTCGAGCACAGCAGCATGGCAGTCGCCAGTATCCAGGCTACCCACATAGCCAGGCAGACTATGGATGCCCGCAGCTCCGACACCCAACGAGCCGCGGTAGTTGGGCATCACCACCGAGTACCCAGCGCCCACCAGCGCCCCCACCAACATATAGAAGCTGTTGGTGTAGGCTGAGTGCGGCCCACCGTGCAGCAGACTCACCAGCGGCCGCTTGGCTCCTGAATTACATTGTGGCAATGTCATTTATGTCGCCAACAGCGGCCATTTTTGTCAAGAGTCAATACGTGGTATCTAACTTTCAAGTAGTAGTAGTAGTAGTAGTAGCAGTAGTATAATGGCTCACTAGCGCTTCAGCTATCAAGCTATTTCGCACTGTAGGTCAAAAAAAACGTCGCCAGCAAGGCGGAAGGTCTCAACTATTCAAAGTCTCAAATTAATCATCACCCACAAGGGGCGGAAGGTCTCAATTGTCCAGCCCGCTGAAGCTGGCTCGAAAGAAGCAGCGTTAGCATCTCAAAGAGACGAAGTGACAAGGAGGGACAGGTGAAAAGCAACAGAAACAAAGACACTCGAACAAGAGGCCGCTTACACGGGACGTCGGCCGCCCGCACGAGAGAGACAGAGAAGGGAAATGTAAATGATCCTACCTACATAATAAGTTAATGCAAGTAATCCTACATACATAATAACTTAACCCCACAACTGAGACCTGCAGTCAGACACCGCGAGCTCAGCGGTGGGGCGCTCAGGAACAATCCCCCTAGGAGCGCGAAATCCCATAGGACTTCTGACGAGCACAGACACGCGTCAGAAGTCCCCCCTGAGGGGGTCTAACTTTCAAGAGCATGCTAAATTTTCAAGAGCCTGTTTAACTTTCAATAGCCTGTTTAACTTTCAAGAGCCTGTTTAACTTTCAATAGCCTGTTTAACTTTCAATAGCCTGTTTAACTTTCAATAGCCTGTTTAACTTTCAAGAGCCTGTTTAACTTTCAAAAGCCTGTTAAACTTCCAAGTGCCTGTTTAATTTCAAAGTGCCTGTTTAATTTTCAAGAGCCTGTTTAACTTTCAAGATCTTGTTTAACTTTCAAGAGCCTGTTTAACTTTCAAGAGCCTGTTTAACTTTCAAGAGCCTGTTTAACTTTCAAGAGCCTGTTTAACTTTCAAGAGCCTGTTTAACTTTCAAGAGCCTGTTCAACTTTCAAGAGTCTGTTTAACTTTCAAGAGCCTGTTTTTCTTTTTTGTAAACTTTCTTGCTACATTTCAAGTTTTCTACAAATACAGATTGGAAACCTCTCAGTGTATGGAAAATTTTCAACATTAAGAAGCACGAATTTCAAACTTTGATAGAAATTTTAATAAAGTCATTACTCCTTCATTAGCCAAACAGAACAGGAAATATATAACGTATATTCAGAAATATGAATTAGATTCTGTCCGAAAAGCGACTCGCTTTTGCCGTTATCTGGGTCATCCTGATCTATTTTGTCCAGTCAAACGTGCGTATTAATGCTACGTCTAGTGTCACTATAATTGGGCTCACCACATGTATTAAATTATTTTTAAATAATAATTTAGTAAATATATGAAATATTTCAAAATACTTGACAATCAGAACCACTCGCAAGAAATTGCGCAATCTATATTTACCTTTATTTTAAAGATGAACTCACCGGCAGTGGGCTGAGTGGGCCCACAATACAAGACTGGGACCGGGACAGAGTTGTACGCTGGGTCAGGATGGCTGGGTGGGTCAGCCAACAGCCATGTGTCCAGCCAGTCCTCAGCCACCTCAGCCAGGCGGCAGCCATCGACAAGCGGAATACATATCTAGAATAAAAATTGCCAGTAATAATTATAAAATAACTATTCCAATACTATGGATAGAAATGAGAATGATAAACATAAGGATACCTACTAAGGCTAATAAGGATCCTTATGATACTAATAATGCTAAAGATATGAAGGATAACAAAGATATAGGTACGTAAATGATGCCAAAGATATCAAGGATACTAAGAATACTACTTCGGGTACTAAGGATAAGGATCCACACAAGGATACCTACACAGGATACTAAGAATAATAAAGATACGTATGATACTAAGGATAATAAGGAATCCTTATTATCCTTAGTATCATACGTGTATCATCCTTTTATGTACCTATCATCCTTATTAAGGATAATGATACACAAAAGAAGACGAAGGATACCTGCAGCGCGGCGACGTGTAGTAGGTATTCTTGGTATTCTTTTGTGTATCCTTATTATTTAGTATCCTTTGAAGTATCCTAGTATTCTTAGTAAATAATACTGCGGATACCTGTAGCCCGGTGACATGTACCGTCCCTTGTCTTGTCCTTGTACTGTCCCTTATTACCCCGCCCGTCCCTCATTACCCCGCCTCAGGGGGGACTTCTGACGGGTGTCTGTGCTCGTCAGAAGTCCTATGGGATTTAGCGCTCCTAGGGGTTTGTTCCTGAGCGCCCCACCGCTGAGCTCGCGGTGTCTGACTGCAGGTCTCAGTTGTGGGGTTAAGTTATTATGTAGGCAGGGTTCCTTACATTTTCGGTAGCAGGTGCAGGGAGGCAGAGACGGTGAGGGTAGAGTGGCCCAAGAGAACCCGTCCATCCGCGACGTCCAGCGCCGTCACGCTGCCCGTCAAGGGAGCCTTCAACGCCTCCACGAGCTTACTCTCTGTGAAGTAAATTATTTTAATAACCTAATTCTTTAATTATTTCATATCATAAACAAATGGTGCTATTAACTACATTAAAATAGATGGTACGGCTCCCTTGCTAACCTTTTATCCCTAAAATTGATTGTTGTTAATCGTATTCATTTTAAAAAGGCAAGACTCATCGTTGTCAAGAAAAGTCTGCTGGAAATTTAATATCCTTGATGCCAACAGATTATTTAAAAGGTTAAAAAACATAAATCAACATAACAAACTCAACAAACAATTCACTCACCGAAATAATCATGTATTCACTATTGACGTCACTCACTGATGTCTACAACGTCAACATAACAAACTCAACAAACAATTCAGTCACCTAAATAATCATGTATTCACTATAGGCTTCACTCACTGATGTCTACAACGTCAACATAACAAGCTCAACAAACAATTCACTCACCGAAATAATCATGTATTCACTATTGACGTCACTCACTGATGTCTATGTCAACATAACAAACTCAACAAACAATTCACTCACCGAAATAATCATGTATTCACTATTGACTTCACTCACTGATGTCTACGTCAACATAACAAACTCAACAAACAATTCACTCACCGAAATAATCATGTATTCACTATAGACGTCACTCACTGATGTCTACAACGTCTACATAACAAACAACAAACAATTCACTCACCGAAGTAATCATGTATTCACTATTGACTTCACTCACTGATGTCTACAACGTAAGTTTGCGTCGCAAAGCGCGCGGTGGTGGAGAACACGAGCTGATGTGGCGCAAGGAAGCAGCGCTCGGGGACGACAGACGCGCCCGTCAACCCGGCGAACAAACTCCCGTCCTGCAGCACCTGCTCCTCTTGGTGGTAGTCAATAACCACTGCAGGAGGTACCTGGTAACGGTAGCAGGTTCAATTATGGTATTTCTCGACTCGTTGGTAATCAATGACCACTGCAGGAGGTACCTGGTAACGGTAGCAGGTTCAATTATGGCGTTTCTGGTGCTAGAAGCAATACATTATACATGTTAGGAGCAATACATATCGCACTGCCTGCATAGCAAACAGGAAAGCTTTATTATTTTCAAGCCTGAAGGTTCCACCCATGCTAGAACTGGGCTTGAATTTCCACATGATAAGGTTACATCTAAGATATATATTAACATGATACATTACACCTAGTTGAGGTATTATTTCCATGAACAGTTTCTAGTAGAGGTATAATTTCGACGCACTATATCCAGTAGAGGCTGAGGCCCCCAAGGTCTCGAGACAAGTTGGGCCTCCCTGACGTGCGGGCCTCCCACGGGGCCTCTGAGGTACACGAGGGCCTCTCCTGTGGGGTCCAGGCGAGGGGACCCGACCCACTCCCCTCGAGGGGTCAACTCCGCTGCAGCAAACAAATATTGTACCGGTATTTGTTATCTTTTCAATAATATTTTTAAAGTTATTTTTTCAATATTATTTTTTATGTTACATTCTCAATTATATTGTATATGTTATCTTTTCAATAATATTTTATAGGTTATATTTTCAATTATATTGTATAAAATAATAATTTCTGTAATAGTCATGGTATGTAATGGAAATTTAATTAAATAATTATTTGAAATATTTTGTAATACATGACAATCAGAACCACTCGCAAGAAATTATGCAATTTATATTTATTTTCATTTTAAATAATGTAAATTCAACGACGATAACACATACAATGAACAATATACGTAATAGATGCTTATGTGAAAATTTTGAAAGCATTCCACTATTTTTACTGGCACATCTGACCATAAATTTCAAAAATTATTCACAAAATGCCTACAGTCAAAGATGTTTGAGTAAGCAGTACAAACCTAAAAAAAATTCTTGCAGTATTAAAATTGATATAGAATAAAATTATGACATGCCATGAACTAAAATTATAACGACACGTGACATGAAACTATTATGGAGTGTAATTGATATAAAATAGAAAAAGGTCATACGAATTCAATAGTCATACGTCAAATAAGGCTTACTGAATTTTTTTTCAGTGAGCGACACGTGGAGCAAAACAGCCTCCCTGATGGGACAATAAATCAGACCAAGTCGGGGACTTGCGTCCACGTAGGCCACGGCCACCAGCTCCTGGGGCCCCGTCCACTGCAGCTGGCCTATGCCCGCACACCATTCAGGTGGTGTCATCATCACACGATCACTGTCCTTAGTCCCGTCACCATCCACGGGCACCACCACCACCACGCTCTGGGAAAACAAAAGTAGCTGCTTTCGCCATCCACCATCACCACCATCACGCTCTGGGAAAACAAAAGTAGCTGCTTTCGCCATCCACCATCACCATCACCACACTCTGGGGATATAAGATTAACTGCAGTCACTATTCACTACCACCTACCACCACCACGCTCTGGGAAAAAATGATTAACTGCAGTCACCATTCACTACCACAACCACCACCAAGCTCTGATAAAACAAAAGTACCTGCTTTCACCATCCACCATCACCACCATCACGCTCTGGGAAAACAAAAGTAGCGGCACTCAACATCCACCATCACAACCACCACGCTCTGAACAAACAGGATTAACTGCAGCACTCTAATTTGTACAATATAGCGTGATGGTTCTTGATTTAAATAAAGCTATAGGTTAATGTTTACACTAAATGCTCATTTGAAATAAAATTCAAATTAGGTTATAGAATACTGTTGAAACTAAATGCTTTGTAATAAATACGAGACGGAGCGAGATTTACAACAGTTTGTTTGACAAAATAAGTTCAGTCTTTACCACTTGTATTGCTGCATATTGCAATCATACTTTCTCTAAAATTTCATTTGATGAAATACCTAAAGAATATTTTCTAGATTTAAAAAAATATTCGACGGAAATTTCTGAGTAAGTAATAACCTTGTGCTTGCCTGTGAGCTGCTCGCCCCAGTCAGGGAGAGAGAGGAACTGGTCACCGCGCCCTCTGCACGTAAATTTCGGCGGTAAATACGCACAATAACGTGTTACTAGACGACCAATAACGTGTTACTACACGCACAAAAACGTGTTACTACACGCACAATAGTGTGCTGCTATACGCAAACTAACATGTTAAATACGCACAATAGTGTGCTATTATACGCAAAATAATGTGTTAATACACTCACATTAGTCTTTTAATACAAAAACAATAGTATATTATAGCATGCGTAATAGTGTATAACTACACGCGCAATTGTCGGATTGCAGATCGTGTAAGTTGTAGCCGATTTGGCCATGGGCGAGTAACATCGATTTTATTTATTATCTTAATTCTTCACTGACATTAAGCACTATAAGAACCTAAATAAACCTTGCTGAATTTCAGTATTTAATGACGAGTAACAATCGAATTATCGAGTGGTGCAGTTGAGTAACAGTGCTAAAATAAATGTGTACGCATATAACAACATGAACTGCGTAACTACACGAGTACATTTTTAATTTTATATAATCTACAGTAAACAGCAGTAAAAATCATACTCTGCATCGTCGGAAGTATCGAGAAAACTTTTCGGTTTCGGTCGGTATTGCTCGGCGACGAAGGCGAGATGCGACCCATCTGGGGAGAACTTCAGGCACCCAAACTCCCCGTCAGAGTAAACCTGATGATTACCGAGCAGTATAATCAGTAATATCAGTAAGATATTCTTAGAAATAGGTTAGGAATGTAATTATAACCTTGATAGGACATGGCATTAGAATAAAAACTTGTGTGGCACACGAAACGTGTACTAAAATCAGTATTAGAAATAATTGCTCGTTATTCAAGACCTACAATCATTGATCCAAAACACTGGAACTCAAACCACCAAACGATGACTCAAATTCGTAGTTCCAGCGCCAATCTTGCTAGAACAGCGCTACTGGAAACGCATTCCTTGGGCGTTAAAGTACTTTGAAGAACACGCCATAAAAATATATTGTAGTATCAATGACGGTCTCGGAAACGTTTACTAACTTTGCCGTGTAGTTTAGTACTGCTGAGGTCAATAGTACATGGAGGCAGGTCAGGACGCTGTACAAGCATGTACTTCACTGGCTTCTGCTCAGCGCTGAAGCTGGCGTCGCTCTGTACCAGCCAAGCTCTGCTGTATCCATGACGCGCTATGAGCTGCCTGTGAACAAAATATAACTCAGTACTCACTGCAGTGAGTCACTGTGAGTGACAGAGAGCGTCGTTTCCGTCTCGTCGACGAAAACGTGAAGTCATGGACGGACAGACTGACAGACAGACAGACGGACAGACAGGCAGATACAGACAGACAGACAGACAGACAGAGAAACGGACAGACGGACAGATAGACAGACAGACGGACAGAGAGACGGACAGCCAGACGGACAGACAGACAGACGGACATGGCGAGCACAATAGCGCCCTTTTTTCCATAAATGAGAAGTTGCGCTAAAAACACGGAACTGATCACAAAATATTCTGAAATGCAATCAGTACCGCCAAGTCATTTGATTTTTTGCTTCCTAATTAAAATTTAGAATCAATTTATGCTAATCCTGTGAAATCCAAACAAAATATTTTATTGGACCTAAAAATAACGGTTGAGACCTCCTGAGTACTCGTACAAATTGCTGAGTTTTTTATGGGTCTGTGAAAAGTGACATCGAAAGCACCAATTACTTAAGAAATTATAATCATTGCAAACTCGCACACAAAAACACTGCTAAGTGCCGTCATTTGGCACACTTAAAATGCTTCAGTTCGTCCGTAAGTGTTCAGTTCAGTATCGCGTACAACGCCTTATTCTTATCAGGTTTACCTTTCATCATGCATATTGATTTGTTGCTTATTTCCATCGCCTTTGTATATATTTTATGCTGCTGCATACTCAGTAATTTTTTCATTAATCATACCAAGCAAGACCACGCTTTTAATGCGATGTTATTCAATATTAAACAGCGTTAACACTTTAGAACGATATCAACACATAGGTAAGCAATGCATTCACTAAAAATATAACTCAGTACTCACTGCAGTGAGTGACAGAGAGCGCATTTTCTCGTCGACGAAAACTTGAGGTCACGGACGGACAGACGGACAGACAGGCAGGCAGGCAGACAGACGGACATGGCGACCACAATAGTGCATTTTTCCCATAAATGAGAAAATGCGCTAAAAACCTGAATGGCAATGATGAGTTCTAAATTAAAACCAAAATTCGAAATAAACTTGGCAAGATTTACAATTGTATCATAATTTAACGTGAGATCAAATCATAGCAATTGAGAGAATTCGGTAAAATTCTAAGCCAAAGAGAAAATTTATTATTTAATTAATTTATTAATTATTTAAATAATTTATGAAAGAACACAACAATGAACAAGTGTTATTGAAATTTTGATATCGACTTGGGAAGAAAAATATAACACAAGATAGAGAAATGACCAGGGAAAGTTGTTCCTTGCGGTAGATCAGAACATGGAGTTGAATAAACGATCGCCAGAGAAGAAAACTTTCATTGTGTACACTTCTTTTTTGGACCTAAATGACATTAAAGTAGACTTATGCAAATAATTTATGCGCCAAATTAAAGTAAACTGATGCGTTACAGAAGAGTTTGGATCATTTAATAGAGTTAAAAATTATGATAAATCGTTCAATGGTTAAAATTAAAATATATAACTAACAGCTCGCATAAAAAATCCTGGAAAATAGTCGCAAGCCTCAAATGGATATAAAAATAAAACATTAAGAGACCGTAAATATCTCTTAATATTTTTTTATTAATATTATATTTATTATATATATTGGTATAAATTGTGTACAAATTTTCTGGTATAAAATTGCGTAAAAATTTTCTACAATACAATATGCATTACATTGCAAACTACATTACAAAATCCACAATAACAATAGAAACACCATCGGATAACAAATACAATGCTTGACACACTCTAGAAGTACTCTATATTAACGGCATCACAAAATATAAGTTCAAATGGCCTTGATTAGGTAAAAATGATTTAATAATAGTTGCTTGTTGACCAAAGCAAAATTTATTTTGTCAGAAGGATTGTTATATCTTGAGTTGGATGCAATAACTTTAATCACACCATCACATAACGTGGGGAGAAAATGCCCTATACTTAATCAGCCTGATTTATCTACTACAAATTTAACAGGCTGGTCAGCTAAGTCATTCCTTGACCGATCTAAATTTCTTGATTCGGATCAAGAAAATTTAGCATGATGACTGACTGAAAAGTTGGTAGTTTAATTGTAAAAGTTTCAAAAAGCTTTCTGCCCACACAGAGCTATTGCGCGTGCATCAGCAAGATCTGTGAAGTTGCCAAGCGTAAAACTAAATTTGCTTTTTTTATAACTTAGAAGTAAAAGATCATGATTATTCTTATAAAGATCATGATTATTCTTATAAAGATCATGATTATTCTTATAAAGATCATGATTATTCTTTTTGTTGGCACGTAACATATTTCACCACACCCGCGGACGTACACAAGTTGTTTGGTGTTCAAACATTCCTCATAATAAACAAGAGCGATCATGGGAATTTCGAAGCGATATTTTAATCGTATGCAAATCTGATACGTTACTCATTAAAGTGCAATAAATATTGCTGGAGTCTGATATTCGTTGTCAGATTGCCGTCAATTGCATGTAGTGAATGCATGACAGTCCTCATTAAAGGGGGAGAAGAGTACGGCTGGAGTCGAGTTGAGGGATGACGTCGACAACAACGCAGCCCTCCGACTGGTACTGACATCGCAGGGAGTCCTGCAGGATTAAAGGATAAATCAACACCTGAGCAAAATAAAATTTGTATATCTGAACCACTTCAACGTTATATGATTCAATACGCGGTATGACATTCGATGAATTAAAGATAAAATCACACCAAATTTGAATTTTTTATCACGCACGATAGATTCAGGCGATTTCAATGCAAATGCATAGAAAACGTGCAGCACTTTTCGAAACGTTGGTTAGGATTTAACACTCATACCGTATTGCTGCAATCTTTCTGATCAAAAATATTAACAGACCATTTGTTAGTATGGTAATTATTGTTATACTAACTACTCTAGTACCATATCAACTACTAGTAACTAGTAGTATACCGAAAGTATAATTCACCATATCAGTGTTGGGGGAGACGAGACCAAGCACGGCTCCTCCGCTCCCGGGGAACTTGACACTCGCCCCAGCCGCCTCCCCGACCTCCACCATGCGCAGGTTCTGCTCACCGAGAGCCTCGCGTCCGTACAGTCGCTTCCGAATACCAAAGTTTTGGCGCATCAAGCCACCTGAAATGATAACTCAAAAATTAAGCAAGAATTACAAATTTTTATGTTTAAGTACTTTATAGCACTGTCTTTTTTTACTTTTTACACAAACCATGACCAAGAACTATGACTAGAAACCAGGACCAGGAACAGTCAATAAAAACCACTGCCGGAAAAAAATGACTAGAAACTGTGACCAGGAATAATGACTAGAAACAGTGACTATAAAGTATAGACCATAACTATAAACTATGAAAAGAAAACAATGTTAGAAACCATGACTAGAAACCTTGTTTTGCAAACAATTACATGTTGATAGTTTTACACAATTGTTGGACATACCGGTATAGCATCGCAAAATAGAGCAAGGATTAAATAGCGATTTTTTCAGCAAACTACGTAACAGTGTAATAGTTGTGACCGATTCTTAAGAGAACAAATTACCCAGGCTGTGCCAGTCAGCCCGCATGATGGCGGCGAGCGCCATGTCAGTGATGCTCGCAAGCTGCGACATTCCCTCTTGTACAAGAGCGTCACCTGGCAATAACAATGAGCAAAGCTGTTTTTAATATTTGTTATTTAGCAGCGACTTTGTCCAAAACAAGAATGTGAGAACCTGGAAAAAGATCCGGCCTTTTATATATTTATTCCATTACAGATCTTGTATAATACAGAAATTGCCTATTAGAGACCTACTCTATTCGAGAGCCCGTATATATGAGACCATGGCTATATGATTTCACCAACTTTTTTCAGATAACAGGCACGCATTTTCCTAATATTCTCAAAGCAAATATTTCATCAATATCTGTCACAGCACACACAGCACTTTTCTTAACATATTTCACACTCTAACCACCTTTGTCGAAGCGTTCTCGCACGTCCGAATGTATCTTGCCAGAGTCAGAAGGGTCAGGCCTGTAGGCGAGGAAGAAGGATGGCAATTTGGTGCCCTCAGGCAGCGTGATGTGTTTGTAGTGGCCGTGCCCTTGTCTTTTCAGGATTTCGTGGGAAAAGTCCATGTACACTAAGCCTTGGTACACCTGTAGAATATCGAATTTACCATGTCACTGCTTGTAACACTCTTGTTTAATTCATCACTTTCAAATATTTTCGCGAGAAAAGTCAATTTTTTTTATTTCGCGGGTGAAGTCAATGCACACTAAGCCTTTGTACGCCTGAAGCTAATTGCCACCACCACTTATGTTAATGTGACACACACCAATATAAACACAAAACCTACACTCAGTTGCCGACGTTTTCAATAGGTTATAAAGGATAAATTGTAGAAAACAAACCTGAACAACACGATCCTGGAGACCAGCATTGATGCTCAGTTCCTGCTTCTCGACGTCGAGCACGAGCTGCGGACGTAAGGTCTTGGGCAGCTGGTCGTCCGAGATCTCATAGAAGGCCATGAGCGCGTGCAGGGCAGCCGTGACGATGGCAGAGCTTCCTGCAAGCCCGACCTGCCGGGGGATGTTGGTGTCGTAGCTCAGAGTGAAGTTGCGACCGCTCAAGACGATGCTGTTAAAACAAGCCATCAATTGGGGCACACGTACAACATCCGCTGGTAAGAGGGTGCAGTTTCCATATATCTGAGATGTAATGATCACACTGTGAGCAGAAAAACGTCGCTAACTGAACAATTTTGATTATTCTTAAGATACAAGTTAAATTATTCACCATTGCAGACGGTATTTATTTTAAACATCCTATGATTGAAAAGGCGCACTAATTGTGCTAAAAAATTAATGAACTAGCTAGAAGTGCACTTTCTGAAAATCTTGCAGCCATCTTACTTGTGTTGCGTGCAGTAATGCAAGAACATTTTGCAAGTCGCCTGCAGCAGTCGCAGGCCACCCAAGTATCCTTCCCTTGTACTGATGCCATGCAGGTCGTTTAGCGAGCCAAATCTGCACGCAATAAATTCTTAAATGATGAATAAATAATATATTTCAAACAATTTGTGATTATACCACTTTTGTTGGTTAAAATCTCTAATAATTGGTAATTAATACATAAATTAATATCCTATTTAACAATAGAATACCGACAGCTCTTGTAGGGTCGTGTTGACCTAAACAAGCTTCTTTCAAGCCTTATTGCCTCTAATGAACATCTTGTGTACAATTCACACGACACGTCATGATACATTTGATCCTCGCCAGACGCTAACCATGAACCATCTGTTCTCAAGATACGTTCTCTGTTGCCACATTTTCTAGCCGCTAGCTAGCGTCAGCACTCCACTATTGGATTAATTATACATATGCTAACTCAAAAAGTTATTTAATCAATTGATGCATCTATATCTGTAGTATTGCTAGCACTGACTCACAAAGATTCTCATGACTCACTCCGTTGGATCATTGAGTCAATGTGGCAGGAGTCGCAAAGTTGCACGTTCCTCAATCAAAACATATGCCGATAAATGTCACTAAATGTCACATATGCCGATAAATGGCACTAAATAAATGTCACAATATATGCCACTGCTGAAGATTCTAATGACTTACTCCGTAGGATCCTTGAGTGGATGTGGCAGGAGTCACAAGGTTTCGCTTTAACCAATAGAAACATATGCCGATAAAAGATAAATGGCACTAAATAAATGCTCAACATATGCCACTGCTAAAGATTCTAATGACTTACTCTGTAGGATCATTGAGTGGATGTGGCAGGAGTCGCAAAGTAGGGCTCTCCTCTATCGTAACATCAGACCAAAAGTTGCCTATGGTCATGGCGATGGTTTTACCATAGAAGCCATCAGAAGGGTTGCCAACGATGCCAACTCTGTCAGAGATACGGAATTCCGATTAGGTGCGAAAATCAACTAAAAACTAATTTTGAAATTCCTAAAACATGGAAATTACCAGCCAGAAATACCTTGAACTTGAAATTCATAACATCATTCCTCTTTACCATGAAAAATACAACTAAAATACGAACATATAAAACAATTTACAACTTTCTCAAGTAAGAATCAATTCTATGAAGCAGTAAGGAAAGGACATAAAATTTACTTACTAAAATAAAAAAAGACGTAATACATAAAATACTTCTCTACTCAAAGATGACAGAAAATACACAAGACACAATACCTTGCAAAAGCTCTGGCCTTGAAGCCTCTGTTGGGAGTGAAGGTTGTGAGGGGAGCGTTGTTGGTGTACAGTCGCAGCCAACTCAGGTAGTCTTGAAGTGATACGTCCCCGATCAACTGGAAGTCTGAGCTCACTAGGTAGCCGTACATTGGCAGCTGAAAACAGTCACACCAAGTCAAAAGTAGCTCGAGGATAATTTTTGCACATAATAATTTTTGGAGAAATAAAGTTAGAAGGAAACATTTTTACTCTGAGCTCAAACCAACTGAATCGAAATTGATTTAGAAATTTCAGAGCTAATATTTGTTGCAGTTTCCACAAAAATTTCTGTTGCAAAATTTGGACAGATAACATCACACACAAAAACTATATTAAAATTTCGGAGTGTTTTTTTTTTAAATTGAAAATATTTTTCAATGGATTAGTTGCAAATAAAAAGTTTATAAAGATACCGACAAAACGAAATTACAAAAGGAATATTAATATAACTTAATTGCAAACATTGCAAATTACTCAAGAATTTAAAAGCACAAAAAATATAGAGGACATACTTAAAGATTTCTTGGCAAAATTCATTTGAAGAATTTAAAAGCAAAGAATCGTTGATAAATATAGTTTAAACGCAAAGAAGTGAACATTTATCATGAAACATTTAACCCATAAAAATATACCTTCAGCTCATTCACAATGTAGCCAATGAAGCTGCCCATAGTGCGGTAATGTTGAGAAACATTGCTTTTCAAATAAGGCTGCAGCTGCTGCAAAGTTGCTCCTCTGAAGCCATAAAATACCACGCTTCCGAAACGAGAACTTGTAGCGGTTGGCAGCGGCTTCTCCAAAAATTTTGTCACTCTGGAATACATAAAAAATTTACAATTTTCTTCACATAGAATCGTCATACATCCTTCAACATGAAAAATATATAAATAAAAAGTACACGAACATGATAATGAGCAGAATTAAACAGTTATGTGACTTGAACCACTGAAATTTGAGGGCCTGGAATTATTCTTCATGGCTATCGCATAAAATTTCAACTCTACACTATTTAATGTTGAATTAAAGAAAAATGATATAAAAGTCCAGCTGTAAACAAACCTTTTTGAGAGGTCATCAACTTCAAGGATGCCTCGACTGGTGGTCAGCTCAGACGACTGCAAGCTGTAGCACACAGCCACATCCCCATCTGGATGTTCCCGCCAAAAATCCACAACATCTTTAATTTTCAACTTCCCCGCCTTGTCAAAAGATTTAATTATTCATTTAATGATAAATATAAAATACTCCTTTCAAAATTGTATTCAAAATGGCTTTTGTTATAAAAGGTTTATTTTTGAAGTGATATCATGAGATGCAACTTAATAAAACTATTACACATAGCCAAAAAAAGATAAAAATTATTCTCAAATTTTCTAACATTTTTTTGGTTATGTGTCTCATAGATTATTGTTGATTATAATTCTATTTTGCTTAAATTTTCAAAAAATAAACATAGTAGAATTAATAAAATTATATGTGTACCACCTGAAACATCATGTCACCAGCAATAACCAAAACGTCAGAGTCCAGCAGCTGACGAGTTCGGACCACCAGCTCCAGATCCCCAACAGCTCCAAGAGCTTTACTGGGCAAGGTTGATCCATCATTGACTATGTTTGTCAGAGGAAATCCTGAAGCACTTGCCCACCGCTCAAAATGCTTGTACTTGTCAGCATTGGTCACAAGTATGACTTGTGATACGTCTTCACACCTGGATGCAGACAAATTATTAAAATCTAGTCAATTAAATACTTTGGTACATAGGTACCACATTTTCATGAATAGTAATAGATTACACAGTGCAATTATAGTTTCTATATCTTATTGAAAAATACAATTACAAAGTGAATATACAATTATATTATTCAAAAAAACTCTCCACACTATAGTAGCAAAAACATTTTCAAAATAAAACTTACTGGTTCAAAGCTTGCCACCAGAGGTCCAAAATAGTTTTTCTATTTGGTCCTGGGAGTAGAGCTTTAGGAATCCCTTGTAGGCTGGAAAGGCAGCCAGAAACATCTTTCTGTGGCAATTACAAGTTATAAATAATCAAACATTTAATATTCTTCACATTAAATTCCAATTGCACATGGGGTGAACAGTGTCTACATGATATAAGATTAATAAGCATAGCACTGTTATTGGAAATAAAGTTAGAAAATTGTAATAGAAATTAATTGTGATATGAAAAATCTTGTTATGTAATTAATGAAAATAAATATTATTTTAAATAACAATATTTAAAGTTTTCAAGTAATGAATGGAAACCATCTCAGTGTCCAAGCATTGTACCAGTAATTTTGTTCAGTTAAGAATGTATCCTTGGTTCTCTAATATATTTTTTAATAAAAGCAATGTTATCACAACATTTCCACCTACTATTATTGCAATACTATGATTCCTCAGAGTGTAACTTTCATATTTTGGTCAAAGAAACTCTGACCAGCATACTACCAACTTAAATGATTGAAGTGTAGGAATTTTTTGAGAATTCCATAATTCAGAATCAAAATACATGGAGTATGTATGAATAGGTAATGTACTTATGGTATTTGCATCCATATGAGTTATAGAAAACTATGATTATTACTTATATTCAAATTAAAATCAACAATAAGCTTACCTGAACGTCAAAAGCCAAACGAGATGCATGACCAGCCACCAGCAGAATACAAGTAACTGGACCCTGTAAATAAACTCATTGCTTGTAATAGGAAATTATATGTTCAAAGCATCTTTTTCAGATGCCCTCAAAGTTTTTTCATACCAAGTTAATGGTTCACAAATCTAGCAGCTCAAATCTAAAATATTTCAAGAAAGTTCAAAATTTGTTTAGTTCTGCATTTTTGCTGAAATTTCCAGTGCCAAGATGTTGGTAAACTTGTTCTGTAAGTATAACACAAAAATGACAAAAATGTCTGTGACAAAGACAATAAGAATAAGTTATTTACTAAATTGCCAATAGAGTGAAGAATAAGCCTAGCTTGGCATACAAGATTGAAGTTCAACAATTACCTATTTGTCAAGGCTGTTAAAAGGGATTCATGGTTCTAACAGTTTCAACAATGCATCTAAATGTCTTTTTTGTAAATACTCTGGACAACCAATCCTTTTAACACTGGCAAAGTTTTAGGCCTGATCTGGGCAATGCAATGCTCAAAATTAATTTGAAAGTTCAATGTTTATCATTGCCTTTAAAGACTGGAATTGTTATGCAAGTGTATTTAAAATGTTTTACATTTTCACTTTAATGATTACCACTTACCATAGTGTTTAATTCAAACAAATAAAATAGAACAGTAAATAGGCAACATATATAAATGATTTAGTAAATCAATTTGCTAAATCACTACATAATTAGTAGACATCTTTTTTTCTTTTTTCTAGTTTAGAGATTTTTTAAGCAGCACATGAAATAAATCATCAGTACTGAAAAACTGATCAAGTAATGGTTTAATTGGTAAACGAGGAACTTAATCTTATGTGGCAGATGTCAAATTTTTGTCAATGCTATCATAACTTACACTGAAGTTAGAGAAATGTTTTGCTTGCAGAACAACAGGGAATAATATAACTCAAAATAAAAAAATTAAAAATGACCTAATTTTGAAAGCTACACTGATTAAACATGACTGAGCTAACTAGCCAAGTTTATAGCAAGAATATACAAGAAGACTCTTGTTGCCATTGGGGAAAAATCAAATGCAAAAACAATATTTTGAAGCCCTAATTACGCCCGTCGCACAGCAGACAGCTGGACTAGACGTCAAAGTCACTGAAGTGGCGAACGAATGATCAATGGAATGCCGCGGCTGAATGAATTCCGCAAATTCCGCGACATCAAAAAAAGTCACTGAAGTGGCGAACGAAAGATCAATGGAATGGAATGCCGCATGGTTGAACTAGTAGAGTTCAACCATGAGAATGCCGAATGAATTCCGCAAATTTAGCAAGGAGTAAAGTAATGGTTTTGATTTTCCTGTGTTGAAAAATTAAGCACTGCATATCTCTTTTCTACTTTCTAGAAAAATGAAAAATATGGTAAATGAAAATGCCATAAGTGAAATGAGACTATGCTCATTTCTCACATAATAAAACTTAGAACCTCATCACCATTTAAACTTAGCCTCATTTGGAGTGGACACCAAAGCTAAACAAGGAAAAAAATTTAGTCGATGGTGTTCAAAGACGTGCAACAAGGATAATTATGGGATTAAGAGGCAAGCCTTATGAAGAAAGGTTAAAGATTATGAAGCTTCCAAGCCTCTGTTATCGACGTTTATGTGGTGACCTCAATGAAGTATACACACAAGTATACCCACGGTTTATACAAGGTCCCAGGAGTCCTAGAATTTGAAACAAGAACAAACAACAGGGGCGCGGCAATAAACTAAAAAAATGCGTTGTAGCACATTCATGCGACAACATTCCTTCTCGCTTTAAGTCACCGACAGGTGGAACAGCCTCCCTGACAGCATCGTTGACGCTCCAAGTACGAACGCCTCCAAGAACAGACTAGACGAAGCTATGCAGGAGCATATGTTCAGTCTTTAAATGCATAGCACCTTATTAAGCAGCTTTAGCACAGGTCTAATAGCTATCTCAAACAATCCTCAGTTATGTAAAGACCGGGTTTAGAAGGCCGGATAACCTTCTATGGAATCAAGTCACGAAAAGTACAAGAATCGGCAACAGACCATCGGCCTATTTCTTTAATGCCGACAATTTCATTCTATCTTGATTTGAAGGTTCGAATCTTATGACTACAAAAGCATCTAATATAGAAAGTGCGGAGTGTTGAAATAGTGTTAATCTATCACTTTTTAATGTAAATCACCACTCATCACTCGTCAATAAAACTTAGCACTCGCTAATAGTGCTTAAAGCAGGAATGACAGAGTACGGAATAACAGGTTCAACGTTTATATATCAGAAAATATAAACCCAGAGAGTGCGGAGTGATGAAATAAGGTGAATCAAGCAATTATTCAATGTAAATACCATCTTTGCACTGGATAATAACAGTTAGCACTTGCCATTAATGCTTAGAGCAAAACGACCGAGTTAGGTTTAAAAGGTTCAACGCTTATAATGCGGAAAATATTCAACCCATAGATTGCGGTGTGATGAAATAAGGAGAATCAATCACTTATTAAATGTAAATCGTCACTCATCTCTTGCGTTAATAAAACTTAGCACTCGCCGATAGTGCTACCAGCGAAACGACCGTGTATATATATATACGGTTTAAAAGGTTAACCACGTTTACAGTCGATACAGCTGAAAGCTCTACAAGCGAGTGCAAAGTGTTTTCTCAGGTGCGGAGTAGTGATTTAAATTGAATAAGTGATTGATTTATTTTATTTCATCACCCTGCACTCTCTGGGGTGGATATTGTCTGACATATAAGCGTTGAACCTGTTAATCAGTACGCGGTTATTCCTGCTTTAGTTTAAGCACTATTGGCCAGTGCTAAGTTTTATTGACGAGTGTTGAGTGGTGATTTACATTTAAATGGATTTATTCACCTTATTTCATTATTCCGCACTCTCTGGGGTGAACATTTTCTAAGATGTAAGCGATGAACCTTGAAAACCGTTCGCGGTCATTGTTGTTTCAAGCTCTATTAGCGAGTTAGCGAGTGGTTAATGCTATTGCCGAAGGCGGAGCGGTGACTTACATTGAATAAGTGATTGATTCATCTTATTTCACCACCCCACACTCTCTGGGTTGAATATTGTCTGAGATATAAACTTTGAATCTCTCATGAATTGAATACTGATTTTATATGATGCAATTTATATGATGACAGCGTTGATGAGATTTCGTTTGCACGTAAATCATCATTCGATTTTGACATATCAACAATTGAACAGAGTAATTGAACATTCTCAAAGTTCATTAAAAGCTTCAGTGATTAAGAATGACGATCATAATTGAATGAACGATTAGTTCAGGAACTAACTTGATAACTTTGTATCTAAGTCGCATATAGAGTGTACGATCTCGTCACACGATTCAGAGACTTGCATTGACGTTAGTTATAAAACCAGCCCGTTGATAACAACGTTTTTAGCCATGCTAAATTTTAATTTAAACATCACAGTTTGTCTCTAGGAATTATCACATCATCATCATCAAATTCTTCAAATTATGCTAGGTAAATTGGTGTACGTACATTGCGTTATCACCATAGAAGTCAATGAATGGCCATAGATGACGTTCTCAGTAACAAATTCTGACCGCCTATCATGCTTTAAGACATGAAAACTGCTTACGTGCCACCGTATGGTTAGAACATATGCCAAAATATTTTATGGCGTCAGTGTTTACTGCTAGCATTTATAATTTGAGAAGAGCGAGTACATATACTCCAAAAAAAGGTATCAACATCATTTTATATAACCGGATTATTAAAATCTCAGGTATTCACAGCTCATTATTCAGTAGTATCAACGGCGTTAATGCCGGATATCTAGCAGAATTTATCAATTCTGTAATTAAGGCTGTAACAGCATATGAAGTTCATTAGTGAGAATTGGCTTTATATAGTTTGAGCGACTCGTCGTGTTAAATTATTAATTTAACATCGGCCTCTAACCTCACAGGATTTATACTTCCGACTCATATTTTTATGAGTCAATGACCTTTTTGCTTTAGAACCTTTATGTTCTTCATCAGTACATAATTTAATTACATCGACAGGCAACATTCTCCTCAGTGAACGTGATCAGTGCCCACTGACGTACACGCGATGGTGATCAAGCATCGCGGTACGTATACCTCCATTCGAAGCAAAAAAAAATCAGCCTCTGACTATTAACGCTCGTCATGTGTATTCACACATGAACGTTGCTACGTGTTATAAATACAACATCGCACAAGAAAAATAGTTACAAGTCTATTGAGCGTTTAAGCAAAATTATCAGTTAAATGGTCATTTGGAAATTAAATATTCGGGAATCGTTACTGATCTCCCAAGACTCACAAAATACTCATGATATTGCGAACCAGATATATTCTGTCTCTTATACACATCTAGATGTGTATAAGAGACAGGTGCTGTTCTCTGCAAGTGGTCCTGACTGTGTCTATTAATGGCTGCTCAGAGTAAAGAAAAGAAGGCTCTCCTTTTATACTTGCTGTATCAAAGACAGCAAAGGAAGAAAAGAAGGCGGTGCTGGGTTCACAATATAGTAAATTTAAGGCCACAAGAAGGAGAATTTGCCACACTGTTTGGAAGACAACGTTTACAAACTTTTCATTACAAAATTAATTCATTACTCATTGCATTCATCAACAAGAAGAAATGAGTTTAATTATCCTTACCACTTTTAGTAGCTGGAGCTGCATACACCCTCACTGACCCACTGTCTGTACCTTACTAGGTAATGGCGTTGGCGTGAAAAACCGCCTTGTGCGAAAGATTAAATTGAATACCATTGCAAGCTAAACTGTCGCGGCAAATCTACCGCCGCAGATTTAGCTAGACACACGCGGGCGTCAGGCGTCAAATTGTACGCCGCGTTAAAAGCCGTCGTGTGTGAACAGCAGTGCACATTTTATATGTCCGTTAAGGTTCGGCAGAAAATACGTTCGGACGATGGTGGTATTAACCGCCTTGTGAGAAGGAGGCCTTAATTTAAGCCCGTCTCCCACAGGGCAGTAAATACTGCCAGCGTCCGACGGTATTTTTGACGCGCGCGGTATTTGTCGCCCAGTGTGAAAGCTGCATGCTTTACAGGGGCCGGATTATCAAAACATCGATAAGTACACGTAGCGACTTACGTGTGGCGTAACTGCTGATATAAAGAAGTAACTCTAGCGGTGGTATTATCAAAATATTTGCGCGGGAAGCTACGTACAAGAAGCCGTACGTAGCTCTACGCCTGCTCGGAGGTGTCGTAAATGGAGTTACGTAGACGTTATGAGTGTGCCGAAGCAATATAAAACTATTGATTTACTTGCAACACGGTGAATTGTGATAGAATTTTGTCAATAATTCAACATAGGCATAATATGTGATCGTGCTAAACGGTGCTTTTTGAGAAAAAATTTCAATTAAGTTATTTCAGCTAATTTCTTTTCCTTTTGTGCTAAAATTTGCAAGCAAATCTTGATATTCGTATCTAAGAGTTTTATTATCATTCACTAAATAATATCTTCATGACTTTTTGATTCAAAACTAAGTGGAGTTTGACAAGCCAACCATTTTTCTAGCTACGTACACAAGTTCCTTTCTTTCTCCACTGATTAGTTAAACTCCAACTCACAAGAACTCCAACTCACAAAATGTTCTAAATTCTAGGTAGCTCTCTAAAAAGTCCTCAAAATTTGAATGGGAAAAATGTAATTTTTTGCCATGATTGCAAAAAATTACAATCAAGGCGTTGTGATTGCTATTTAGACAGCGTCTCACTCATTTCTCCATATGCTCCCTAGTCAGTCAACGCAGATGACGCTGACACAATACAACCTCCTTACATCCACGCGCACTGCGCACTGAGTCTACAGGAGCTAGGAATGGCAAATTCGAAGCCTCTGATTGGTCAGTTAGTTGGATGGTTTCGATAATACCCTTTCAGATGGGTCTTGCGAAAGACAGTTTTGTTAATGCCAAATTTTTACTGACTTACGCAATACGTAACTTTTTGAACGTAAGTACGAAAAGTTACGTGTACTTAGCAAAGTTTCGTTAATCGCTGCCCAGCAGGCAATAAGTCTAACAGCTATCACAAACAATCCTCAGTTATGGAAAGACCGGGTTCAGAAGGCCGGATAACCTTTTATGGAATCAAGTCACGAAAAGTACAAGAATCAGCAACAGACCATCGGCCTATTTCACCACCCCACACTCTGGGTTGAATATTGTCTGAGATATAAGCTTTGAATCTCTTAAACCAGACGCGGCCATTGCTGCTCTAAGCACTATATATTATCGTGTGATTTATGCTATTGCCGAGTGCTGATTCACATATAATAAATGCTAGATTCTCCTTATTTCACCGCTCAGCACTCTCTTTCTTGAATATTTTCTGAGTTACAAGCGTTGAACTTGTGGAGCCTCAAGTGATCGTCAGGTTTCACTAGGTAGAAATGACAGAAGATAAGATCGTTGAATATGTTTAAGCAGACAACGGGTAGATCTGTTTCAAACACTATGCATCAAGTTTCTAGATACAATATTATAAGAAAGAATTTGGTTACTTTGACGGCAGTTATATAAAGTGATATCCTGTTACAAAGTTAGCTCCAAAAATTACGGAATCACCCGATTCACCGCCGCATTCGATTAATCCATTGTTCACCACGTGTTCTGCACTTCAGCGTTGTCAGCGTCTTCAGCTTTCAAGTGTGACCCAAAAGTCAGGAACACTGCAAGATATACCAATGTCATTTACAAATTCTTCTGCACCAAAGAAGGCCGTGGACTTCTCCAGAATGCACATCGGTTTGACCAGTACGACCCTGAGCCTCCGACTCAAATACCACCTGAAAACTGGATGACCTGGCAAAGAACCATATGCGGGAGGCTCACAACGAAACAATCACCCCCGCGACATTGGAGACCTGCACCAGCATCATCGTGCTGTCGATACTACAAGACTGGCTATAGCAGAGGTTCTCATCAGTCATCATCAGATATGAGTCCCTAGCAATCAAGTTGCAACCAACTGGATTTTTCAGGACGCTGAACTTGTTCTCGGGCTGATTTAAGTTTTGATTTCGAACCGCATCCACGATATATTTTGTACTTACTTATTTATTTTATCATTTTCAAATTTCAAGTGTTGTGAAACTCTTCACCTACTGGAGAATGAATATAGAATATTCGAAACATAGTTATTTCAGTTTAATGTCATTTTGGTAACCTGCTCTTCAATCTCCCAGCACCAGCAAGATACTTTGCTCCGCGTATTGAAAAAAAAAATATAATAAGAAATTGTCAATAAAAAACACGCTCTGGTCTTCGATGAAACCTGCATAAAACATTCTTTGTTCAAACATGGGTGGTTAACGAGTAATGGCCAGAGAATCCATTGATTTTGATTTAAAATTTCAGGATCGAACAATATTGTTCAGATAATGTTGGTTGATCAAAATGCTGTTCCAAAGAAGTAATATGAATTTATTAACGACGCTTCGAATGCGACAACATTCATTTTCAAATCTAGGAAGCATTGGATACAGAAATTTCGGTGGTAATATGTACATGATACACATTAATAGGATGCAAGACAAAATTTTGGAACCGTGAAAATTACTCCAGAACAATCACAAAGCTCAGAAAATCCATGACTTGTGTTATGGATAGCTGGAGTCTAGTGCGTAGAGACAAGGGCTTCAGTTATTGTCGGTCGGATGATGTCTGGCCACCGAAAGATGACAATACTGATGGGTCCATCCCATGGTTGAACTAACTAACTATAGTTCAACCATTAATACTTTGAGACCTGGTATGGTTGCGAGCTTGTCTTAGGTGGCAGGATATACAGATGCTCAATGTCGTAGTAGTTACTCCAAATACTCCAATGTAGCTCAAATAATGAAGAAGTCTGCAACCTTCTGTGCAGAAAATTTTTAATATTCTTTATGTACATGTTGGCAAGTTCTTCATATCATATGTACTATTTCTTCGAAGCAACAACTAAGAGATATATTGAATAGTAGTTTTAACAAGCTCAGAAATTTAAAATTTTACAACAAAAGACACTGATAATAATTATAGTCTTTATGATGAGAATCTTTCATCGCAGATAATGCAGGAAAATCTTCGGGATTTTCAACACACATTTAACTATAAGTGTTCAAAATTTCAGATCGATTGGACAGATAGAAGTGTGCTAAATATCGATTATAAGATTTGTAGCATACAAAATTATTTTTTCAATTTTTTACATTGAATAAAAAAATAATTTTTACAATTATTCCGACAATAACAATTGACAATTTTACAATTGACAATAATTATTGTTAATTGATTCATGCATTGTTTCCGACTTTACGCAAGTGTGCACAATTTCAGATCGATTATAGAGGTTGAAGTGTGTCAAATATCGGTTATAAGATTTGTAGCAGACAAACAAACAAACAAACAAACAATAATATACGTTTAAAAATTACTTTTTAAAGATAACACTTCTAAAGAATCCAGTGTCAATGTTAAAGATGTACAATGAATTTCTCATTTTATTTTCAAAAATTGAAAAATTTAATTTTTCAAACTTTTTTAATATATAAAATTTTTTCAAAATTATTTATTCTGTCAATTTATTCATGCATTGCCTCCGACTTCACACGAGTATGCAAAATTTCAGATCAATTGGACAGGTAAAAATGTGTCAAATATCATTTATAAGATTTGTAGCTGACAAAATTATTTTGCCAATTTTTTTTAATATTGAAAAAAATTGTAATTTTCAAAATTAATTATTCTGTCAATAGAATCATGCATTGTCTCCGACTTTACGCAAGTGTGCAAAATTTCAGATCGATTGGACAGGTAGAAGTGTGTTAAATATCGATTATATGATTTGTGGCAGACAAATAAACAAACAAACAACAAGAAGTGAATTAAAGAGAAGTGTTGTAAGAATGTGGGTTTGCGCGGGCCATTCGCAAAAAAGAACATAAAATATTAATTATTATTAACAGGATTTTAGGACTGCTGAGATTTTTTATCTAGGTCAATGCCGATCTAACCTGCTGGTAATAATTACCTTAATTAAAGGAGAGAAAAATCACCGCTAGAAACTGCAGTATTATACTGATCATCTCGTCGCAAAGTATGTAGGTAGCTGATAAAATTAAAATCATGATAAAACACTCTTCTATACGCACTGGACAATGTATTCCTGCTAAACGTCGTCTAACTGAATATTAGTTATAGGGGATCATCTCTCGGAATGAGATGTAGGAGAAAACACATGGCAGCAGAAACGATCGATTTGGTTACGACCGTCCTCTAAACGTCCCCTACCACATCGCGGCAACTTCCATGCGCAGCTGAGACGCGCCGCTTCTCACCATTATCTCGTTCCATTTCTTACTTTATACACGTATTTTCACAAAGCAAACATATGTCCAGCAATATTTTTTTATTTTGTTTTTTTAGGTACTCAAGTTAAAGCAATTTTCATTAGTTGTAGTGAAATTCCAGGGGTATGGGAGCATTGGGAGAAAAGTTGGTGTTGCATGGACATGGAACGAAAAGCTCAGTCAGCCGCTAGCAGGCTTAGTAAACGTTGGTGAGGTGCGTGCGCGGGGTTAAAATTATTTTTTACTATTTACGGAACGTGTTGTTTATCAGGCTTGTATTCCAAAATCTCTCAGAAGAACATGCTTCCAACATACTAATAGATTTTTCGTTGGAAACCCGGGTGAGTAAATGAATGACTGACCTTGAGTTGCAGAACGTTTCTTCGACTTCTGCAATGACATTCGTAGGCCTACCTAGGTCGTCAGGAGGATGTTCATGTTGCCACTGGCCACGTCAATCTTTGTGAATTACGTTCTAATTCGTAAGAGAATAATAAATCTTGTATCTTGAGTATTAATGCTTCTGTTAGAAACTATAGCAACTTAGGGTCAAATTAGGTGGATTCATCAGTCGTGCTGAGTTTCTGACGACGTCAAATCAAAACAATCAAGCGATTTCTTCGTTCGAGCAGTTCACACCAGGTGTGAATCCTCAAGACCTCAACCGAACTCTCGTACAGAGAATTTGCGGCGAGAGACTTCCGAGTGTATTAATGTTGCTGTTTTTTTAGCCGAGTACAAAACTATTTTACCTATGAATGTTTTGCTCTATGCGTTGTATATTTTATAAATTGAGCTGGATAGAAGCAAAATAAATACTTAAATCAGGATTGATACCTAGTCTATCGATCAATTCTTCGAACTGTCCCAATCCCAATGCTCATTGTGTGGACGGGCAACCGACTAATTGGTCAAACTTTGACTCAATCTCTGTCTATATTGATGTTGGGAGCTGTGACATTGTTTCTCCCTAGCTCTAGTTTTTCATATCTCAAGATATTCGACACTGGTTTCACGATTTATTTTGGTGAGTTTATCGAATTATATCGTAGTTTCTATTGTTTGTGGAAAATTCAGTCAAAAAGCTAAAGTGACAAGAACAAGAGAGCACTGGCCTATGCGGCATTGATTGCTTAGTGCAAAGAAGTCGATCCTACAGCAAACAAAGGCTGCAACGAAAATTTCATTGAAAATAATGTGCCAAAATGAAGACGTCAATGCTGTCTGGTGCTGATAGGAATGCTGTCTATCAACGCTCATTGTGGTATTTTTTAACCATTTTCGGGACCAACGCGTACGGGTACGCACACAGTGAAAGCAGGTTGCCAGCGTGCTGGTTACCTGCTCAGGCTGGTGCCTGAAACCATAGAATACAGATGCCTATTCGTACAGGTTTTCACTGTGAACACCTGCATTATTATCCTATGTTCATTCTTGTGGCAGGTTGGAGCAGGTTGCCCGCGCGGGCAAACCTGCTTTCACTGTGTGCGTACCCTACGTTTGCATCGCTTGAACGTTTAACCTAATTTTTGTGGCACTAACTGCGATTACTGCAGCAAGCAGCACGAGCTCCCCCTATTGCCGCGAGCGCAAAAGACTGAAGGAAAGTTTGAAACGTGTGGACGCTCGTCAGTCATCCGTCTTGTCGGTCAAACTTTGGCATGACATGTATTGGCAACCCTGGCATTGCTCTACCTCCACACCTCCCCGACACGTATCAAGTCAGGAGCAAAGAGTTGCGCCAACTTCGCATGTGACTATGGAACGAGGGAGGCTGATTTTACATAATTCTAAAGCTCTAATTAGATTGAGGTCAAATTTATTGCAAAACCTTAATTTTTTCAATTGGCTATTACTATTAGTGGTAAAGAAAACTTGTCAGGAGAAGAAAGCAATTATTTTCATGGTCAAGTGTGTTTTATGCGCTCTTATCTGAACGCGCAAACGTTTCTTATCTAACTACAGAACGTTGATACGGGAGATAATAACGTCATTTTCATATTGCGATTATATTCTGCCAACTTTATGATATTACTTAGATTGCATGGCAATTGATCGTTGCTTTACGCTGTTGCTGTCTGGTTTATCACACAATTGATCAGAGATAAAATTGTGGGTGATAACTTGAGTGTTCGAGACTTTGTAGTCAGCGACTCTCGTAATTTGCTGCCTCGATAACCCTGCTTCAAGTTGATCGCCATTATATATACTTGATTGCATCAGTACTCAATCGTACTGTATTATTCATATTGAATTGGTATGTTTAATCACATTAAAACTGAATGCAATTTAAGGTTTCATTTTAAACTGCACTTCTTTTCGTCGTGAGCGGCATGCCGTCCGTATTGTAGACAGTTTTGTTAATTGTCTTTGTTTCCTTCCGAAACGTCGCTTTTAAAATCTGCCTTCTTCATATCACTTCTTTCATTCTTTGTATTAAATAATGTGTTACCATTGTCTCGTCTACTTCTTTTTTGGAAGGAACTCGTATCAATTATTCGCTACAAAACAAGTCTCTCAAGGAGGAAGTCGCCGTCCATGTCAAATATCGAACTTCCTCTGGTCTAGCCAACAGCTGGGGTACAAGAAAACGGAAAAGGGGAACCAAACACCTGTTGAAACCATTAATCTCTGCTCAGGTGCCTGTCTGACTAATGACCCGACGTCGCGTGTAGCCCGTATTTCTCTTGGCCGCCTATGACGAACTTGCGTTCAGCATCCCTGGTATGGTACGAAGTTCGCTGTTGACGCGTTTTGTGGCAGGAGATCCATGCTAAAAAGAATGCATTCGTTCGCTGTAAGCATGGTTCTAATTAGCGTAGATTTCACAATATTTTTGAATTTTTTTGGGAATCCGGCCTCTTTTCTAGTCATTCGTTACACCAGTAATTCGATTTAATTGTAATAGTATTCATATATATGGAATATTACTATTCCGTTCTCCATTAGGATAGGTACCTGCATATTATTACCAAATCGTTTACTTTTCGATCAGCGAATCTTCCTTTTTTCACGATGCTACCAGAATTAGGTCTTCTACCAGAATAAAAGAATTAGGTCTTCTTAAACATCAGTAAACTGCAACCCAGATTGTGCAAGTTTTACAGTAGTACACAGAGAAGTATAGGAATATAAACACCAGTGCTGACTTACTACCAAGTCGCTGGGATCGATGCCCCGCGTGAACGAACCCCCATATTGACCCCCTCTTCTTGCTTCCCCCAAGATTGGGGGCGACAACTGTTCCGATTTTATCTACTGATTTGTTGTAGCCTGAGACTGTTCCCCGGGCAGATTTGACATGGAATTTACTTTTAATGAAATAAAATATTTATGCTGTAAAAATTAAATATGCTTAGGTGCGTACGTGACACGAATCATGCACTGGAAAACGTGTGACCTTGGCTTCACCTTGCTAACGTTCATGACGCTCACGTGACGTCACAGGCAGCACCTGACGTCACGAACGTGAACGCGTCTGTCGCTCCGCCTAGTAACATGTAATCGATTGTTGATAACACGGCCCTCTACTGCACGATTGATTATTCGACTGTAGTAGGAATAACATTACATATAATCATTTGTGAGAGTAAGGCATTCGTCGTGGAAATGATACTATCATGTCATTAAACGATTGGGAATTTTCCACGCGAGTTAGACAACGGTGGTGTGTGTTATTCTGCTCATTTCGAGTTTCTTCATGCAATCGATACCATAAAACGAACTGTATTATATGGTCCTTTTACAGTGCGATTGCATCACGCTGGAGTACCACCCTTTCACTGCTCAGACGAACCTTTCTTACCTGCAGTCTTATTACTTTCAGCTTAGCAGATTATCTTTTTTAAGTAAACCAATTTAATTTTCAGTCAGCGGCATTAGCTCAAGGCACGATTTTTCTGTTTAATTCATTTTAAGTGTTACATACAATTTTGTGATGACCATAGGTGGGTAATATTGTTTGTGGGAGCAGTTAATTGCTGCAAAGAATGACGCATATTTTTTTCTATTCTATATACAAAAGATGGCGGACTCTATTAATAGCGGTTGTTATGAATTTCGTATAGTATAACAATCATGGAAATGCCCAAAATAATGAATATGTCATATTGTCTAAATAGTGACACTTGCTGCACGTAGCACTGATACGCTAATTTGCCGGGGGGAAACTGGTTCAGGATGATCTTATCTATACCAGGGCCAAAAGTGCATCGATATTTGGACAAATTCGCGTCATTTCTGTGAGTGCATATAGCGCCATCCCGCATCTGTGCTACAGCTGCCTGCGATCAATGAAACCAAAGCGCGCCAAGTCGAACGACCTTTGTCGGGAATAATCTTTTATAATATAAGAGTGGTGATTCAGGTAATTATTTAGTAAGGGGTTTGTAGAACTTGCCTATTTGCTAAAATTTATTTGGCTTCATTTCATTGCTAGGTTTGTACCTACACCCACCAAACAAATGACATAGGAACATCGTTTAATTAAAGATTGAGTTATAGCGTCAGGTGTCTGGTTAGTAGGTACTATATTGCGTTGGTGCTGTGAACACGTATATACGGTGTTACTACTTCTACTTGGGTAGGTTTTACCTTTGGTTAATACAGTTTTCGAAATGAAGTTGTTTTGAACCTCCAGCTAGGTGTCCATTCTCACCTGTTTTTCCTTCAATCTCATTCTTCCATGGTCGTTTTTACTCTATATTATACCAGGAGTTACTCGCCCTCACAATCCTCTAAAAATTCAACCCATTAATCCAATTTTCTCATCCACATTGCCATCAGCCTTTCACCTCATCCACAATGCCATCAGCCTCTCACCTCTCATCCACAATGCCATCAGCCTCTCGCCCCACATCCACATTGCCATCAGCCTCTCACCTCTCATCCACAATGCCATCAGCCTCTCGCCCTACATCCACATTGCCATCAGCCTCTCACCTCTCATCCACAATGCCATCAGCCTCTCGCCCCACATCCACATTGTCATCAGCCTCTCACCTCTCATCCACAATGCCATCAGCCTCTTGCCCCACATCCACATTGGCATCAGCCTCTCACCTCTCATCCACGTTGCCATTAGCCTCACTCCCCTCATCCAAACACATTGATCATCAGGCTGCAACTCCCATATTCACTTCACCGCATCATTGGGTTTTACATCTCGATTGCACACGCAGTATCAGCAGTCTCCGCTTCCATTCAACAATACCTCCATTCACGCTTGGCACCGATTGTAAGTAGTTGCACTCCCACTAGCTGCCAATATCAAAGCTGCATCATAGAAGGTAGGAAAAAAGTAGAAATTTTCTAACTTTTCTGATAAATTATCATTTAGTAA